TGAGATTATTCTAAAATACATTATTATAAAAGTCAGCAAATAATCACGAAATGCACTTTCTCAATCCAAAATGTGCAACAACAATGCAACTCTGTACATTCACTTGTCACTCACTCAACTTCGAGCAGAAGACAAGCAAACGCAAATTAATCCAAACGGAACATCGAACATAGCAAAACAAAAAGGAAAGCCAAAAGTCTCGCCACAATTCACATGCCAAAACCCAGTCCTAAAATCTATATATATACATAATATATATATATATATATATATATATATATATACACAAAATATATATAATATATATATATATATATAGAGAGAGAGAGAGAGAGAGAGACCTGGTAACGCCACGGTATATGGAGCTGCGTTTGCCCGCAGCAGAAGGAGGCATTTTGCTGATTCGCTCCTTCGCAGAACAAACTCTCTCTTTCTTCGGTTTCTTGAACCGCAACTGATCCTCGTTGGCCACCGTCGCTTCCGGAGTCTCCGAACCTCCACCAGCTTCGGACTTGCCAGGTTCGGAAGAAGACGAAGCCATCGACGGAAGCGAACCTAAGTAAACCCTAAAACTGGATAGAGAAAATGCGTTAGAAAAAGATGCAGTGTGAGTGTGTGAGGGTGGGCGTGTTTTCATTGGCATTGGAGGGAGATGATTATTGATTACTAGCTACATAGGATTCTCTGCAAGGGAGAGGAGAAAGTCACCAAATTACGAAAATGGGTATGCGGGTTACGCCTGAAATGCTCGCGTTCGGCTTTTAACTGAAAGTAACGGCTAGGATAGAGAGAGGGTAGAAGCGTCATTTGGGATTTTTAAAAATAATCACCGTCGTTTATAAAAACTTCATTCGATATTGAAGGGTTAAGAAGTTTTTTTTTATATATATATAAATATTTGTAATGGTGAGTTATTAGACGTATTAAAATTATGATTATAATATACGGGTATTCTTAGTATAAAATTTTATTACAAAATCTTATATTACTTTTTGGATATAAGACAAAAGATTTTATTTATTTTTTATTTAATAATATATCTCATTATAACATTTTGACTAATTTTAAAACTTAAAAAAAATAATATATATATATATATATATATATATATATATATATAATATGAAAACCTAATTTTTGGAAATTTTGAGTTGTTGTACTAATAGTATCACATTTCTTATAAAACTAGTGTAATAGATTTTGGTCAAGTTTTATTACATTTTCACCAAGACAAATTCTTTTTAGGATAGACTTGAATAAGATTTGAAAAAGAAAATAAAGTGCTGATCAATCAATTTTCATTTTGTTTTATTTTTTTTATAAAATACTTCATAATAGGAACTAAACCAATTAAATTAATATTAATTAATTAAAAAATACACAATTTTGTCATTAAAAATAAAAAATAATATTTTGTATGATAGTTGTCTTACTTTAACAAAATAATTATATATATATATATATATATATATATATATATATATATAATGACACCACAATTTTTTTTACAATTAATAACAATCAAAATTAATAATTGATTTAGTTTAAGTTCATATAATTTGTAAATAATAAATTCAATTAAATTGTAAATCTAAACCAATATAATGGATTAAGTTGATCCAATTAAGTTATAAATATGGGAGATTAAAAAGATTATTTATAAATTATGGGAATTAAAATAAAATTTAATCTAATTTCTAATAGAATCTTATGGTCAACATTAACTTCTATTTTAAAACTATATAACATGTTAAGTCAATTTTATTAAAACAAATAATCGAATAGTTTTAAAATTTATATAAAAAAATAGATTCAAAATAGGGACATTTATTAAATCGTTGGATTCGTTCAACATGTAACTTTACGACACATAGATGAGAGAATAAATTTCACGGTTAATATTTAAGCCACTTCAAAGATATGGAGTAAAAAAAAATTCTTGAAAATAAATATTTTATTCACCTTAAGTTGTTTAAAATTAAAAAAATATATATATATTTCTGATCAAGTTTTAGGTAATGACATCTATTAAAATATTCATATTTATTTTTAATCAATTCTTACTTAAAAACTCTCTTTAAATATATTTTTAATGAAATAAATTTATAAAATGTTTTTAAATAACTAAATCTAAAAATATAAATTTAGGATTTAAAAAGTTCAACATAATAACTAAATTTAATAAAATAATATTTTTATAATATATTTTAAAACTTATTTTTTATAAAGAAAAAAATAAAGATTATTATTATCACGTAGGTTTTAATAAAAATTACAAATATAAAATATATTAAAAATACAAGATAGATAATAATTAAAATAAAATAAAATAAAATAGAATAATTATTATTTAAAGTTAATATAATATATGAAATAGAAAATTAAAATATATAATATATTTTCTAAAAAATTATATTAAAAAATTGATTTTTCACCGAAATTAATTCAACCCAAAAAACTCAGTGGGTTTAATCTGATGTTTTCAGTTTTATCCTAATCTAATTGCAATTTAACTATTTAAAAGAAATCGATCGATTCGCCACCAGATTCGGTTAGATTTTATTTTATCTTAAATTAATTATTATATCAAAACTTGTTTCGCATTAAAATTATTTTATATCTCTTTCGTACATATTTAAATTAATATGGTAGATATTTTAAGAAATATAAACATAATTTTACTCTTATTATTACTTAAACAAAACATCAACTAAAAAAAAGTAACAAATAGTTATTAGTAATAAAAACCACATTTTCTTATAAAATATGAATTATTTAATTATTTTTACTATTGTTAAATTTGAAATATGACACCAGCAATAAAAGTAAGTAACATATGGTTATAATCTATATAAAAAAAATATAAATTACATTTGATGTAAGTTATTGACTTGTAACTTTTAACTGTATAATAAATAATTAAATTATAATGGAAGCACAATTTTTTGTTACTCTTTTATAATTTTTGTCATCCTTTATAGTTCCTCTCAACAATAAATTTGTAGAATTTCTAATGAAACATAAACCAATTCAAAAATAAAATAAAAAATTGATTAAATTTTTTATTTTATTTTTTGAAATTATTTTGTTTGGTTAGATTTTTAATCAAAAATTATAATATATATTACTAAAATTAAAATATAAGTTATATTAATAATTTTTTTTTTTAATTTAAAATATGTATTATTATTATTATTAATTAAAGTGAATGAGAAAATATATAAAATAAATTAAAATTATAAACATCACAATTAATTAATTATGTATGATAATTTTATAATATATTTTTTATTTAATAATTATTTTGTTATAATATATTTAATAATTTTAGTCCAGACCCAATTGTATTTAAATTTTATATTTAGAATGATGCATCTTTATAAAAGATAGAAATGACATTCTATTATTGAGTTTGTGTGGTATTGTTGGCAGTGAAATGATAACACTCAAAGCCAATTTATCATTGTTTCTTGTAAGCTTTCATGCCTAAGTGCAGTAAAAGTAAAAGGACCGTTGATAGTGCTAAAAGCAAGAGAAGTTATGTATAAAAAAATGGAATGGTGGGCTAAATGGTGGTTAGCATGACAAGATAGTTGCCAATGCCAATGTTTGTGGTCCGTGCTTTGAACTTGTGAAGTGCCACGCACTAGTTAGTGGTGCAATGTTGAGTTTTTGAAACGTGGGTTCCCCCTTCCAAACAACGGGTGTCCAACATGCCAAACTACGGGTGTCCAAGATGAAGAACGTGGCCACAAAGGCTTCACTTTCCTTCTTTGATGGTAATTTGAGCTTTTCATGACGCATGTCAGGGACAAGAAACCATTACCACCCACTATCAGTGGATGTATCATGTATGGTATTTGGTCCTTTTAGAGACTGCATTCATTGGAATATACAGGATCCTCTTTCTTCAGCTCTTTAATGGCTTTAATGGCTCTGGTCCATTAAATGGCTCTGGTCTGCTCTGAGATTTAATGGCATTAATGGCTCTGGTCTGCCTTGGTCCCATGGAGGTGATTCATTTCTTATGGGACTTTTATATTTGTCCACTGTCCCATGGAGGTGATTCATTTCTTAAGGGACTTGTATATTTAACATAGTTGACTATCCGATCAATTGTTAAATCTGTTTGACGGAAACTGAGAAGTTCTCGGCAACGTGAGTTGTGGTTGATATGGTTGATAAGAGCCATGACAGAAGTGCATGTGCATGTATGGTATTATCCCTTCTACATAATGTCATGTATGGTATTATCCCTTCTACAATGTCTTGTATGGTATTATCCCTTCTACATAATGTCATGTATGGTATTATCCCTTCTTCTTATGTATACACAACTAAGTGTTACTCCTTGTAGTCTCTCGGGAAAGATACTTGTGTTTTGGTACTATAAAATAGAAAAATCAACATTTGTTATAGTTGGACTAAATTAAGTTAACACCCCTTTAAGTTTCACTCAACAATCCTTTTTCTATATTCTTACACTATTCCTTTTTCATTGTTTGAAAAAAATTGCATTTAACTCAGCAAATTTAATTGTTGTGTTCTCATAGGAGGCTTTTGTAACAGATAAAAAGATAGACAGTTTGTACAATCTCCAAAAATCTGAAGTCTAATATGCAATTAACTCTTGTAGTATGTTATCATTAAAATCAGAATTATAGATGGTTGAAACTGATGTCTGACAAAAAAAAAAAAGACTGACCACTTGCACTATTATGTTGCCTGCCAAACTTACCAAAACAGGAGTGACCTCATGAGATCAGCTTTTAATCATGAGACATGACAATGGTATCATGACCAACTCATTTCTTCCATTCATAATGTGTGATCATAGAAAGCATCCGAAACATTGATGCCAATATCCACCAAATTTCACGGTAAAAATACAATATAAGAGGTCTATACCACGTTTCAATTTATTTCAGAAACATTTTGAACCTTAGTGACTAGTCCTAAGATAGAAAATATCAAAGAGAAACACTGTCGTCCTTTGAAAAATGTCAGACGTTCTCCAAAAAACTGCTGCCCCAGAAAAATTTGAAGTCAAGTTGAGTAGGAAAAGTGTTGTGAAAGCACTCAGTCCTTCACCAGAGCCATTTACAATTACTCTCTCAAATCTTGACCTGCTTTCAGGTCGTTTTCCTGTGACATACTTGTATTTCTACCGCAAACCACAATCAGATAGCTTCAAGGCTTTTGTTGATGCTCTTAAAAGCTCTCTAGCACAAATACTTGACCACTATTATCCCTTTGCTGGCCAAATTGTTCAAAATCCTAAAACTAGCGAGCCTGAGATAATATGTGACAACAATGGTGCTCTAATCATTGAAGCTCACACAAATATCCCTTTAAGGAATCTAGATTTTTATAATCTCAATGAAACTATTCAAGAAAAGGTAGTTTCAGTTGAACCAGATTTCCCCACGCAAATTCAGGTGACCGAGTATTCATGTGGAGGCATTTCTATAGCATTTACTTTTGATCATGCATTAGGTGATGCCAGTGCCTTTGGTAAGTTCATTGCTTCCTGGTGTGAAATGGCTCAAAAGAAACCACTCTCATGCATTCCAGACCATACTAGACACCTTCGTGCACGTTCTTCTCCTAATTATCAACCATCCTTGGATCAAAATTTTATTAGGTGCACCATGGAAGAGATACAGAACATACCAATGAACCATATCTCATTGAAACGCCTTTATCATATCAAAGCATCAAGCATCCACATGCTGCAGAAACTTGCTTCTGTGAATGGAATCAAGAAAACTAAGATTGAAGCTTTCTCCGCATATGTATGGAAGATAATGATTGGTACCATTGATCAAAGGCAGGAAACCTGCAAGATGGGTTGGTTGGTGGATGGAAGAAAAAGAATGGAAAAAGGTGAGAATTTGATGTCAAATTACATTGGTAACGTGCTGTCTGTGACATTTGGGGAGGCAAGCATGCAAGAATTGAAGGAAGGCTCTATATCCGACATTGCTAACACAGTGCATGAGGCAATTTTAAAGGTAAACAATGAGGATCATTTCTTGGACCTGATTGATTGGATTGAGTGCCATAGGCCTGGTTTGATGCTAGCCAAAGCAGTTTTGGGTCAAGAAGTACCAACTCTAGTGGTGTCCTCAGGACAAAGGTTTCCTGTCACTGAAGTTGACTTTGGATTTGGGACTCCCTTGCTAGGGACAATGTACACTACCATTCCAAGTTTAGGAACTGGTTACATGAACCAAAGGTTAAGTGCCAAGGGTGATGGTTCATGGACTGTGTCTGCCATCTTGTGGCCTGAACTGGAAGCTGCATTGATGGATGACCCAATTTTCCATCCCATGTCTGCTTCTCATCTTGAACTTTAGTCCAGTACATGCTTTTCATTGTCACTTTTTTTTAGGAAGTATTCCGATAAATAATGTTTATCTCGATCTTAAGTTGTCGGTTGTGTAGCTAAGCACACAACTTGTCAACCAATTGTACTTTGAAAACAAGGACGCATTATGAATACCAAGCTTCCTTTGCATTTACATACCAATAGATTAGTTGGGGACAAGAGGAACAATACTTGTGCAAACAAACTTATGAAGAAGGTCAATCAAGTGGTTTCAATTACCAGTTACACAATTGTGTTAAAAATCTAAAATCCACTCTCGATGAAAAATCAATGGAAATAAAAGTAAAGTTGCTGAACAGCATAAGCCTATCAGAAAATTATAGCACAACTGTATAAGAATGTCTACTTTACAGTCTACAACCAGTGACTGATCAACAGAACTAAACAAATTAGAAATCGATATACCTAGTTCAATATTCAGATATTAGAATTAGAATGCTTGTGTAGAACTGAACCTGTGTCAAATATGACAGTCACCAAGATCACTTGATCAGCCTCCAAATAGTCAACTGATTAACTTCACTTGTGTTCTTCCCTTTCTTTGAATCTCTTTCAGCAATTACAGCAGAATCAATGGATAAACATTCCTCAATTGACAAATGTAAAGTAAAAAAGAACCAGAATAGAATAGGTATAAAATAGCATGAGATAAGTTTGGGTAGCATTAACATTTCAATTATGCTTAGTACTTCGAATCAGTTTTTGTAATTAAATTTGTACTGCACTGAAACACTTGGTGATATGAAAACAAAACGTTACATTTCTATGGATTTAGGGTGAAAGTTGTGTATTTGTTCCAACATGCTCTGCAATTAAAAAGCAACAACATAAGAAATAACAGATACATCAAAGATGTGAGGGATCGTAGAAAGTGAAATTTGGTCTCTACAGTGTCATGTACTTCTACATTTTTGGGCACAATGACTTCTTATCACTGTGACAAGTTTCTATAAAAACATTTCTAGAAAAATAAATAAATTTCTTTATAATTTAAAATTAATTTATATACAAAATAGAAAAAAGGGTTATTTAGAGAAACCATAAGAAAATAAAAGAAATAAATAATGAAATAAACTTCAACATAAAATAAAATTAGCTCATACACAAACTAAAAATAAGAATTTATAAAAATTATATTATTATTTTTACAAATAAACTAATAGGCGTATATTAATTTTTGTCTTGTAAAAAAATTCATTTTACTTTTTATTTTTATTTTCCTTCTAGAAATATATATAAAAAAATTTTTGTCCAAACAAATCAATATAGTATCCACAAAAGAACGCAAGATGATAATTAAGTACAATCCAGCTTCAATATAAATAAATAATTAAGTAAATTTTGATTGACTACTTTGCAAATATATGGAAAATAATTAAAAATACTAAAACAAATTAGCTCAATATATCATTTGTTAAGAAATGTAATATGACGTAAGAATTAGCAGCTTGAGAAAAATCCTGCTAAGGGCAAGATGCCAAAACATTGCCATTTGCATAATCAACCTGACCACACATCCATTACAACAGCTTTCCTCACCATTAACATAACTTCTCCCGCAACAATAAGCATGCAGTCAGCAGAACTTCATTTTCTCAACCAGTAGATTTCAGTATTGCACCAGAATGAAGTGCCAACTAACTATCTATAGTGGTTGCTCAGCAGGAAAGAAAAAAATCCTGCCTGTAATCCTTCACATGTTATCTCCCAGCTTATATATGCAGTTGCATGTATAAAATGGCATTGCCAACCTCCTACACGGTCAGGGAGATATGACATCTTAGTCGTGTTTCACCAGCTTGAGTATTCGACTCATCTATCAATTTCTTTCGAATTTCCTTTTTGGCTTTTGCGACTTGGAAGGTCGTGTAGGCACATTAGAAGCTGCTTTATCTTTTGCCGTATTAGTCATCTTCCCACCACCACCAGTGAAACTTTTGTTTCCACTTTTCTTGCCTTTTCTACTTTTTTCTGGTCTTCTTACATTAGGATTTTTGGCACTGGAATGCCTACTTCTCTTGGGTAAACTTAATCCATCATTACTGGTAGATTTAAGTGCTCCTTTTTGGCCAGGCTTGTCTGTCTCAAATTTGTTGTCCCTCTTTCTCTTTTTGGTCTTCATTGAATTTTTCTCTGGGGTAGTTGATCTTTCAGGCTTCCTCCACTCTGGCCTACAAAGTGAGAGAGAACATAGGACTCCAAATCAGTTTGCAAGAAACAAAAGCTCAACTCATTTTTTTCACAAGCAACTAAAACATACCTCGTGGTAGAAGAATCTTCAGGGATATTTTCTGAATCTTTAGTGACTGCTTCACTTGATTTGCCATGTCGATTCTGCGAGTCAATAGACACCATAATAGAAACTTTTATTAAACCTGTAAGTAAGTCAGCAGTACACCATCTACAGATATTAAAAATTTTAAATGAGCTAGAAAGTAGTACAAAATCCAAAGAAATAAAAAGGAAAAAAGAATTTCCCACCAACCAAAAACTGATTAATTATAGTTTTATTGTGAATATTCTTTTAGCCATGGTTTGCAATGTTGTCTTTAAAAATTCTGATGGAAGCACAGTAAAAATATTAAAAACATAAGACGTAAAAAGTCACAGATGATAGATAAAAAGAAAAGAAATGAAAATAAAACTAACAGCGATATGGAACCTTAATTGTGCTTTCATAATGAGCAGAAATTTCATTTCCTTGGCTGTATTCACCGTACATATTTTAATTTAACATTTTTCCCAAACAATTTTAATTAAAAAAATAAACAACAATTAATCCAACCAATTTAACAAAAGTCACTTTGGAAAGAGTTAACGTATGCCAGAAAACAGTTGGGAAAAATAAGAACCAAATGAAGAGCAGGTATAACCTTTGCCTAAATAAGAACTGAAATTTGTTTCCCTTTTTATTATGGTACTGAAGAAAAACGTGGCTTTTAGCATGATTAATGTCTTACTAACATTTTTAACCTTTAAAGCACAAGCCTAATCATCCAAAAGCTAAATCTTATACGAATTTTTAAGCTACTATGTTGCTGACTTCATGAATTTGCATACAATGCTGTATGTAACATATGGCTAGGCCGGGATGAAACTTAAGCTACAGAAGTACCATTGTAATCATAGTCTTTTAAAGAATCCTGAAAACAATACCTCTAGAACTGTCTTCAGAAAAAACTTATAGTTGTCCGGGGTAACCAGTTTGATAGCAGCAGAACCACACTTCCGTAATAATATTTCAAATATAACAGTGACCTGCAGAATACCAAAAACACATTATTCCTATCGTTTTGTCAAGTATACACATCAATGTGTTAATGTTGTGATGATGCATCAAATTTAGCACACCAGCATGTTTGGGACCTGGAGCTAAACATTAGATATTGTACATGCCTTTGATCTAAAATGATGTCTTGAAACAGACGACCAGGGGAGGATTTCAGTAATAACATCTGAGAGAATATTCTGCAGCTCCCTTGCTTGTAAGCTAGATACCATCACTTTAACAAAGCCCAAGACAGCCTGTTACAGATGTAAGATTTAACAACAATAACAGAAAGATGTCCAAACTCAAAAATATGCATCTTAAAAACGTAGAATACTCACTTTTATGGTTTCCACATCTTTGGTTTGCAGCAGAGATAAAAGAGAAGGGACGAGATCTGGAACAGAGATTAAAAGATTTGTATCCTGGTATACCAATACAGAAAGCGCAGACACTGCTCCACTTTTTATATGGGGAGATGATCCAGAAAGATAACCCATTATCTGTATATTAAGAACATATATGAGCAAAAGTCACTGACATATTTCACAAAATGCATACTATCTACTCTAATTACAACATATGATGTAAGCATTATCATAAACAAAATAAGTTCATCCACTCCACACAAACTGTGGACGCAGCATTGGTTGCACGATTGTTAGCTTATAGAACAAAACATGAAAAATGCATGATAATTGGGGGATGTTCAATACTTAATAGAGCGATATCCCACAAGCATATTTATGAGCAGCCAAGTAGCTCAAATCTTCTCAAATTAGTGATTCTCTGTTAAAAACAAGTAAAAATGAAATCATGCATCTTACCATGCTAACTAGTTTGTGATACGGTTCAAAAGAACCAACAAATGATGAGTCTCTCAAGGTAGAACTTATATTTAAGAGTAAATCATATGCTTCTTTCCTGGTTTCTTCCTTTCCCTAAACAGAACAATTGAACATAAATCAGTACAGTTATCCAGATAACAAAATCTAAGCCAATGAACTTCAAGAAAGTGTCTTGGCATGTACTTGATACACTTACATCCTTTAATGTGAGAATAATTTCATTGAGAATAAGAAAAACCTTTGAGCTCTCCTCCTCTTCTAAACCAACCTGCAGAATGCACACTCACACGTATATAGCAAAAAATAAAGAGAGCACTGGATAATGTACAAAATTACAACTGGATATAAATGATATGTACCCTTCGCACCCAACTTCAGAGATCAAAGAATAAGAAATACAAACATTATCAAAGCAACTGGGCTAACAAGCAAAACCAAGCAAGAAATTATGTTTAATATGCAATAGTAAACCAGCTTCACTGTAGTTTCAACAATCAAAGGAAAAGAAATGGCTACTAAATTTCTTAAGAAGCATAATCATATAAACTTCTATAGTAAGAATGTGTGTAACAACTGAAATTCTGAAAAACCTAAAGATTACAGGTGTTGTGGAATCGAGTGCAGCAACTTTCAATACTGCAAGTTGGTTACCAGATTAAATTATTTTAAAAAATTATGGCACTCAGAAAAAGCATTTTAATTGCATTCAAAAATACTTTTAATAGAAAAAATAAAATGTTTAAAAGTACATTAGTGCATAATCAAGACATCAAGTAAATCTTGAATCTGAAGCTATGACTGAACTAGAACCAAAACAGACAAAGCTATTAGTCAGGCTAGCTATCCAGTTTTGGTGGTTTTAAATACAGAAATAATTGAAAATGCACATGGACTTAGCAGTACAAGGAGTTGGATGCTAAAATAGATTTCAGCAATATAGTTGCCACAAAATAATAGAAGCATGTTACACATTGTCATATCTAAGATGTGCAGATTAACATAAATTGTAAATAAGAATGAAGCATTATCATAATTCATAACTGATAATTCTGACCTTCACTGCATGTACCATCAGCAGGCGAAAACAAGAATATCGACTTCTAAGAGATGCAATAGCAGTTGGAGGTTTTAAGCCATGCAATAAATCAATTAGCTCAATGTATCGAGCAGAAGAGAAGCATGGATTCTCCTGCATCATTAGGCAACAATACTGAGATAGATTGATAGAGTTGAAAAAGAGAAAAACATATGCAATATATGATAAACTAAAGCCATAAAAACAGGATGAAACTTGGACTTTGGGTCATGCTGGGCCAATGTATTGCGTGGTCCATTAAGGAAACCCTGTGAGTATAGTAAAATGAAAAACAGGATTGTATCCCATTAACAAAAAAAAAACAGAGGGATAATTGTTTAGTAAAGGAAGAAGGAAACCCTCGCCTCTCCAAAACAAAAAAGAAACCTTTCGCACTGACTCATTGTGTGCAACTACCACCATCACCCTGTCACTGGGTGAAGCCACCAGGCACCCTTTTTGTCGTCTTTCTTCCTGTACACCTGTTGTCACTGTACAGCCACAGCATTGTCACACCATACCCTCCTATGCCATTGTACGTGTTTGTTTCCATCGCACTGGTGTTGGACTTTGCCATCACTACCATGATATTGTCATACTGATTCGTTTCCTCTGTCCTTATGTCAGACTCTGTCATCAACACCAGTGTTTATCACAGCTGTGCCTTGATTCACACCAGCCCCAATAAGAGTATTGTAATGTTGTTGAGTAAGGGGCAGTGGTATTGCAATTTGTATGATCAATTTTTGTTTTCTAATAACAATATAAGTATGTATTCTGTGAATTTTTTAGTGAAGTGTGTATGTTGTGATGTCTATCTATGTTGATGAATCTACTTGTTAGACAATTTAATTATTTTTGTAAATGAAAATTATATTGATGTACACTTCATATTTACAAAATGGAACCTGAAATTGTAAATAAACATTATGATTTGCCACCAGACTTAGAAGAACTTGAGAAAGAGGATAATGATATTGATGGATCAAGTAAGAGACCTAGGACAACTACATTATTACAATGTTCATTTCCAGTTTCAGATTCCATTATGTAAATATTTAGTGTTCATCAACACAATGATCATTCACAGAAACAGTAATACAAATAATAATGTTGTCTACAAGTAAATTCATCAACACAAACATCACAATATACATACTCCAGTAAAATTTTCACAGTATACTTAATGGACTAGGCAAGTCACTGTATATATACTTATGCTCTGTTATAGAAAAAAAAAAGAAGAAGAAGGGAAGATCCATCATACAAATTACAATACCATTACTTCTTGCTAGTACTCTTACCTAGGAATGGTGAGACGGTGATTGGGGCTCATGGTGCCGTTAACACAACAGCACAATGACAACGATGATGTGTGACATCGAAGCAGTGGCAAGGACAGTGTAACAATGAAAAAAAATCTAATACCAGTGTAATGAAAACAACCCAGCACAACAACACTGCCCTAGCGATGGCAACATCTGATTCCAAGATGGTGGAAACGAACTAGTACAAAGACAACGAATGTTGTGGTATGATGACAACATGGTGGCTGTGGCGTGCAGATGAAGTGGTAGTTGTGCAGTGACAACTAGAAGGAAGAATAGAAAGAGGGTGATGATGGAAAAGTGGTTGTGGTGCACTGGCTGCATGCAGTGAGAATATGATGAGAAGACGCCATGGTCTGGTGGTGGCTGTACACAGTGAGTTAGTAACTATGGGCATTCTTTTCGTTTTGGAAAGGTGATCCAGCAAGGGTTTCCTCCTTCCTTTACTCAACAATTGAACTAATCCCGCTATTTTTTTCCTTAATGAGCTACGAGGCCCTTTAAAACTTTTTTCTTTTTATTACTCAACTCGCAGAGCAGAGGGAGTATCTAGGATACTCAAATTTTCTAAGAGATAGATAACAAGACTACAAGAGAGAAAATGAAGCAGAAAAATCCACAAATCCAGACCTCCAAAATTTTGCTCAATGTGTTGTATGCTTCATGATGAACACTCTCATCAGTTGCCTGCAAAACCAAAAGCATACATGATATTCTTTTACACAATTATATAAGTTCGTCAACAGAATAAAAGAAAGCAATGATAATATTAATAAAAAATATTCTTCCAACTTTGAAAATACCTGAAATGAACGTGTAGTTAAATCATAAATTATCTGAATAAGATTATCGTTTGCTCCTCCAATAAGACAAGATGCCATTTCCAATATCAGACACCTGTAGAACAAAATGATTTTCATTTGTTATTAACTAAATAATAACACGAAACTGAAAGGTAAGTTTTCAGTGTATACAGTTTCCAGATTATTAATTTTAATTTGGGAAATATCAGATTATTGCTAAGGATGATGTAATCATGTAAAAGCTCAGTCCTTCAGCTAATATATATGAAGGTTAGCTTCTCAACAAGATTATTGTTGTAAATAGCGGTTTATTAGGACATAAATATCTTTAAGATCTCCACATTGATTTGGATAAAATATCTTTAGAGTCCTCATATTTATTTCAGCATATTTTGTTTCCTTATTTGAGAGAAATTGATGTTACAAATAAGAGAATCTGAGAATGTACATGGTGTAATTGTTATTAATAAAACTAAACCTTATTTCTCTACATAGTTCAAGAATTATCAAGTGAAAAAACAACTCTCAAATAATTTTGTTCAGCTACAGAAAAACAAAAGTTATAAATATCAGCAGCTCGACTCTTGAGCAGATGGGAAAAGGCGCATGAATGATTTATCAAATCGCTTAACATGCTTCCCTACGCTATAGTCCTTCAGCATGAAACACAGACAATGCACCATCCTTTTTTTTATCATAAATTTAACTTTTAGAAGAATGCAGAAGTTAAGGATTAAACTCTTGACCACTTGGCTAAGTTAGCTTTTATTTACTACATATTTTAAAAATAAACAGCCAAAATTAGATGAAAAATAGAGTCTTTAGATTGGCAGTTCCAGCCAATCACTCAATTATTTTCCTTTACATGTTGGTCAATGGCATACTTCTATGATTAAACTTAGTGGAACTATGCATAATCTTCCATCACAAATTGGGCACTGCAGTGTAGCTGTCAAAGCAAGACCAATATAATTTGGGAAATGCTAACTGACATATCAACACTGACAATTATTCTTGTATAAATTAATCACTATACCTCTGAGAGCATCCCTTCAAGTCACCTTGATTGCTGTCTACCACTCCAGGACTTGTCAATATTTTAGCTTCACCTTCAGAATCTACAAATTGAGACCTCTTAAGCAGAGACAAAAGAACCTCTTTGGTTACAGAAGAATCAGTGACAGAAGCCAGGCACCCAATTGCTCCCTGAAAAAGAAAGAGGAAAAACTGTTATTCCAAATTACTTATTATCAATACATTAATATAAAGTAAATAATGACCAAGATCAGAAAGCAGTTGAGAACTGCATGTAAAGAATCCATCAACCATCATACTAAGGGCAAGGAAAGTAAGAGGCATCATTAAGAACCAATAATGTTCAGCCTAGAAATTCCCCAAAATTATTTTAAATGGCCCAAATAGAATACTTTCAAACATGAGCTGAAAAAAATAATTTATTCATTTACTAAAACAAAATAAAACATAAGAGAAAGGCATCACTAAGTTAAAAAAGATTGTTTTCTTTTACGACATTTTGTTCAGTGATTAAGGGTGCGAACCTAGTTGGATTGCTTGGTCCTTAAGTGACATTACATGTTTTATTTTAAAAAAAAAGAGAGAAAAAGTTATCATTCAATATGGGAGAATAGTAACACAAGTGATAAGTGCATAACCTTTAAACATATGCGGGTTTCAGGAAGTGAGCTAATAAATAAATCTGATAAAACAAAAAGCAACTGATTTGAACAAGACGCCAAAGACTTTATGTTTTTGGTAGCTGCTTTCTTTGAATAAGTAGGTTGCACGCCAAACTCTGACAAAAAATCATATTCACCATGGCAATCTTCCATACTCCTTTTCGGGCTAAGTGCAGCTTTGTTCTCATTTACAAGAATCTGGACAACATTCATAATCATTTTAGGAGGAAAAACAATTGAAAAAAAAATATAAAACAACAAAAATTATGAGTGTCTCCACCAGTTTGTGGAAGTGTTACCTGTAATGCCTTGGAAACAATTTCATGCATGAAATGATCCTTCTTAAGAAAACTAATAAGGACATAAGAGAGACGAGTAAAACTTTGGTAAGTATCAGTTGCATGACGACAAAAGCCAGGTAGCAATCCCCACAGTCCATGTGCGCAAGCCAGCATATCCTGACTAATCTCTGACTTTTTTACTGAAAGAAACAGGAAAATTTTTGCCCAAAATTTGAACAAAAATGTGATTGTCATAAAATGAGAATTGCATGGACAGCAGCTAAAGGGAAAAATATTTTGAGAACGAAAAAACATCATCAGAATATTCCAAATTCTCTAATGGCTACAAATTAGTTTCCTTTTCCTGTTCTTTTTATCTAAACAAAAAGAAAAAGTATTATCATTCACTATTTACAAACTCAAGATTATTTTGAGAAACTTCTCCAATATGAAAGTAATATAAAACCAGACAAGCTACATACATCTCTAACCCAAAAAAGATAAGAAAAAGGGGGATAATACTCAAGGCTATGCAAGTACCAATGATAGAGAGAGAATAAGCACAAGAAAATAACTCAAGTTTCCTACAGCTTAAAAGAAAAGAAAAAGGGGAGAGAAAGAAATCAGGATCAAAGCAGATAACATTAAATATACCTTTCCGACTAGCCTTCTTAAAGGACTTGGCAAGAGGCATGATATGCTCCATGTAGTATGCAAGTGATGCACCACTAACATAGCACTTTAAGATTGGTACTAGCCAAATATTTGCATACATATAGCTGTGTTCATCAAGAGAAATAGGTACAAGTGAAAGAAATCTCTCTATCCCCATAGCATAAACAGCAGACCCAATGCATTTCTTAAGCTGCATAAAATGAAAAGCAGATAAACCAGAAATCAGTATAAATTGTACCAGAACAGAAATAACGGTAATAGAAGAGTACAAGTAGTAAGCAGTAATCAATGTTTTAGAGAGTACAGATGATGGCTAAATAAGTAATCAGAAAGAACACAGGAATAGAGGTTCAACTAGGGTGAGCTGCTGATGAACTGGCATTCACAATATGGCAATGATGCTACTCAATTATAGTATGCCAGAGACAAATAAACAAATTTAAATTAATTAAGTATACATGAAATAATTTGAATACTATTCACATACTGCATTATTTTTTATCTTTAAACTAAATAAGGAAAAAACAAGGGTAACATTAATATGACAACCTAATTTATTTCATATATTACATTGACTGTGTAACAAGCAAACAAGTATTTAATATATCAAAACAGACATAAGTATATGTAACAAGTCCCACATTGGGGAGGTCTCCTTACCAGGGAGGCCTTATAAGGTAGGAGGTTCTCCAACCTCTTGAGCTAGCTTTTGAGGGATGGTTCCCCTCTTAGCCTTATGGTTGTTTCAATGGTGCTTTCATTGAGAGTCAGCCAACTCGAGAAGGGCTACCCACGGAGGGTTCTGACCGCCAGAGGGTTCTGACCACTGGAGGGTTCTGACCGGTAAGAAAGCCGAGTAAAGTGCTAGTGAGTGAAGTGTCGGTGAGTGAAGTGTCGTGGAGTGCAGCCATCGAGGACGCTGGCTTTCGAACGGGGTGGTATTGTAACAAGTCCCACATTGGGGAGGTCTCCTTACCAGGGAGGCCTTATAAGGTAGGAGGTTCTCCAACCTCTTGAGCTAGCTTTTGAGGGATGGTTCCCCTCTTAGCCTTATGGTTGTTTCAGTATACTGAACATTAAAAAAAAAAAAAAAAACTATTCACATAAAGTGTTCCAGTAAGGATACACAGTGCTGATCTAAAATCAAATAATATGTCATTTTTCACCTAGCACCCCAAGTACCTTACCAACAATTTAGCCGGCAAGAAATTATATTTACAAAATCTTAACTAAAGTTATCTATAGCTAATTGTTAATGACTTGAACATATGATGCACAAATTGAACTACTCCAAAAAAAATTAAAATGAGTGAGAAACAAACATAATGAGTCCTATGATGGCATGTTTAAGAAGTAGAAATCAATCTATCAAAATTTAGATATGTGGGAACAGCTATAGAATCCTTTATGGGTACTTACATGCTCATTATGAACCTTGCCTCCAGAAATTTGAGTCATCAAGTCGGCAAGTTTAAGCACAATGTTCCTCATCAACAGAAATGAGAATTCTCCTTTAACCAAAGAAAAATAGAAGAGAATAAGAAGAGATGAAGAAAATGTACTTTAATAACTATTATTCTTTTAAAGAAGAAATCTTATTATTGATAAAAAAAAATGTTATAACAAACAATAAGACACTATCTCCCCACAAAGAAATAAAAGCACAAACACAAGATAGCAAAAAGAATGAAAACAATCAAGCACATCAATCTGTAAGAGAATACTCAACCAAACAATTCATTGTTAGTGTATAGCTTTGTAAATGGGTTCTATCTATCTTAAACACAAAAGGAGAGTCCAACCCAAAAGGCTACTAGTCCATTAGGAGAGCGAACCTCAAGATTTAAGTACCACATCAAGTAGTTTACCCTATTCAACATGAGACTCTTAACATTACCACCCTGTTTAAGGGCCAACAACTATAGCGGGTTTCACTCTATTACATTGACCCAAAGATAGTTATGTTCTCTTTGACGACTTCACAAATCTATCTGTTTGTATTTGTTGAAAGTCCCACATCGCCTACCTCATGTCATTTGGTATGGTTTAAATACATGTTAGGTTACTCCACATATTGCCAATTGGTTTTATGTTGGAACCTTAACATGGTATCAGAGCAGGTTGGTCCTGCTCTATCTGTCCGGCCACCGTCCGACCATTTTCGGTCACCGTCCGGCCATTTTCCGGTCACTTTTCGGCAACCGTCAGTCCCCCGTCCAGTCACCTTTTTTTGCTGCCGTCCGACAACTTTCCGACCACCTTCCAGTAACCTTCCGGCTATCTTGGGTGTTCTCTTTCTTACAGGTTCCATTGTCTCCTTCTTACATCTACATTATTTAAAACATGTCGTCAGGGCCCACAACCTCCTTTTCCGGAACTCCCACGATAACGGTTGAGAAATTAAATGGAAAAAATTACATGTCTTGGTCCTCTTCAGTGGAACTTTGGTTCCTTGGACAAGGGTTTCACAATCATCTAGAAGAAGACGGAACTAAGATACCAGAAGATCAGGCTCAACAATGGAAAAAGCTTGATTAACAACTATGTGCTCTACTGTGGCAATCAGTAGAACCAATTATTTTGAACACTCTCAGATCCTTCAAAACATGTAACTCTTTCTGGAAAAAAGCTCAGAATATCTTCGCAAACGATATCCAACGCCTCTATGATTCCGCTAATCGATTAGCCTCTCTCAAGCAATTGGATATGATGACCTTTATTGCTAAAGCTCAATCAGCAGTTGAAGAATTAAAGATGTTCCTAGAGGTGGATTCGTTAGAGGAGATAAAGTAAAAGTTGGATAAATTCTATATGGTTATGACTCTCCGGGCCATGAATTCAGAATTTGATCATGTTAGAGATCAAATTTTAACTAGACAAGAAGTTCCTTCTATGGAAAGTTTGACTACAAGACTGTTTCGTGTTCCAACTCTCAAAGGAAAAAATAATCAAGAACTTGTTGAATTTTTGCTATGATTTCTACCCGTGGAAGAGGAAGTCACGACACTAGAGGAGGACGTGGAGGTAGAGGACGTCCTCAGTGCACTCATTGCAAGAGAATGGGTCATACAGTGGAAAATTGCTACTCTTTGCACGGTTTTCCTGACAAAACTGTCAATATTTCCAAATCTGAAATGGTTGAACTCAGGTTCTCTCACGAAAAATATCGGGAATATTTGAGGTTGAAATCCAGTAATCTAGCACAATCATCAACAACCCCAAATTCATCAACAACTTGCATTTCACAATCTGTGGAAAGTCAAAATCCATGGATTATTGACTCAGGTGCTTCTGATCTGATCACATGTCTGGTAATGCCTCTTTGTTCTCTTCTCTCTCATTTCCTAAAACTCCTCATCTCATAACCTTAACCAACGTATCTAAAGTAGCCTCTAAAGGAACTGGTCAAGTCTCCATTTCTCCGTCTTTAAACTTAAAATTTGTTCTTTTTGTTCCTTCATGTCCCTTTAGTCTCATTTCCCTAAGTCAATTAACAAAATTATTGAATTGTTCAGTAACCTTTAATGTCAACTCTTTTGTTATACAGGAACGTGATACAGGTCGACAGATTGACGAAGGACATGAATCTGGAGGCTTATACTACCTTGGGACTAAATCATTTGTATCTTGTGTTGCATCCTTGTCTCCAAAACTATTACACGAACGTTTAGGGCACCCTCACTTATCAAGATTAAAAAAAATGATTCCTGAACTTCATACTCTTCAAGATTTTGAATGTGAATCATGTCAACTAGGTAAACATACTAGGTCCTCTTTTCCTAAACGTTCTGAATCTAGATGTGACTTTGTCTTTTCTCATGTTCATTCTGATATTTGGGGTCTTAGTCGTGTCTCATCCTTTGGCTATAGATATTTTGTTACCTTCATTGATGAGTTTTCTAGGTGTACTTGGATTTATCTAATGAAAGAATGTTCTGAATTATTACCTATCTTTAAGTCTTTCCTTAACGAAATCAAAAATCAATTTGGAAAAGTAATCAAAGTTTTACGAAGTGATAATGCCAAAGAATATTTTTCTACTGATTTCTCCACTCTCTTAAGCTCCCAAGACATTTTACACCAGTCTATTTGTCCTCACACACCACAACAAAATGGTATAGCAGAACGAAAAAATAGACATTTGGTTGAAACTGCTCGTACCTTATTACTTGGTGGAAATATGCTCGTTCATCATTGGGGAGATGCTATTCTTACTACATGTTTTCTCATTAACAGAATGTCATCTTCTTCTCTTAACAATAAAGTTCCACACTCTATTCTATTGCCAAAGGACCCACTTTTTCATGTTTCTCCTCGTGTATTTGATTGCGTATGTTTTGTTCATGATATGTCTCTAGGTTTAAATAAACTATCAACTAGAGTCATCAAATGTGTCTTCTTGGGATATTCTCGTTTTCAAAAAGGATATCGATGTTATTCTCCTGAAACCAAGAGGTACTACATGTCTGCTAATGTCACTTTTTTTGAGTCAACTCCCTTCTTCCCTTCTTCTATGCAGGATATTAGTTCGGTCCAAAATGTCCTACCTATACCCTTAGTGGAGTCATTTGTACATCCTCCTCCTGACACCCAAAATTCCACACAAAATACACCAGAATCCTCATCACTGCCTCTTATTACCTATCAACACAGGAGCCAAATGATCTGTCCCATGTCCCAAGATGAGTCTTTCTCAACAGATTCTTCTCAATCATCCCCTGATACCACGATTCCTGATAATGATGACTCAAGTTGGCCCATTGTCATTCGCAAAGGTACTCGCTCTACTCGTAATCCACATCCCATTTACAATTTTCTTAGCTACCATAGATTGTATCCTTCCTATTTTTCTTTTGTTTCTTCTGTATCCACTATTACTATTCCAAAAAATGTGAAAGAGGCACTTGATCATCTTGGATGACGACAAGCCATGATTGATGAAATGCAGGCTCTTGAGCACAATGGTACATGGAACTTAATTCCTCTTCCACATGGGAAGAATATTGTTGGTTGTCGTTGGGTCTATGCCATTAAAATTGGACCAAAAGGTGAAATTGATCGACTCAAAGCTAGATTAGTAGCAAAAGGCTACACTCAGATCTATGGCCTTGACTACAGTGATACTTTTTCTGCTATGGCCAAAATGACTACTGTTCGACTTTTCTTTGCTATGGCAGCTATCCGTCATTGGCCTCTTCATCAGTTAGATATCAAGAATGCGTTCTTGCATGGTGATCTTGAGGAGGAAATTTATATGGAGCAACCTCCTGATTTTGTTGCTCAAGGGGAGTCTAGTTTGGTTTGTAAGTTACATCGTTCTCTCTCTGGTCTCAAACAATCTCCACGTGCTTGGTTTGGAAAATTTAGTCACATTGTTCAAAATTTTGGATTAAAACGAAGTGAGGCAGATCCTTCTGTTTTTTATTATATTGCTTCAGGAAAATGTGTTTATTTAATTGTATATATAGATGATATAGTCATTATAGGGGATGATGTTGATAAAATTTCTCTGCTATAGAAACATTTATGCAATCACTTCCAAACTAAGGATCTTGGTTGTCTCAAATACTTTCTAGGGATTGAAGTGGCTCAATCAAAAGAAGGCATTGTAGTCTCCCAAAGAAAGTATGTTTTAGATATCCTGAAAGAAACAGGCATGATTGATTGTAGACCAGTAAACAGCCTTATGGATCCAAATCAGAAATTAATGGCGGATCAGGGTGAACCGCTCTCTGATCCTGAGAGATGTAGAAGACTTGTTGGGAAACTCATTTATCTCACCATTACCAGACCTGACATATCTTTTGCCGTTGGAGTTGTGAGTCAATTTATGCAAAATCCGTGTACTGATCATTGGAATGTTGTCGTTCACATCCTAAAATATCTCAAAAAAGTTCCAAGACAGGGTCTGTTGTATGAAGATAAAGGGGTACCCAAATATCTAGGTATTGTGATGCTGATTGGTCTGCATCCCCTATGGACAGACGCTCCACTACAGGATATTGTGTTCTCATTGGAAGCAATATTATTTCTTGGAAAAGTAAGAAACAAAATGTAGTGGTCCGGTCTAGTGCTGAAGCTGAATATAGAGCAATGACATCTCTCACTTGTGAACTAGTGTGGGTGAAACAATTCCTTTAAGAACTGAAATTTTGTGAGATCCAACAGATGAAGATGTATTGTGACAATCAAGCAGCTCTCCACATTGCCTCTAATCTGGTGTTCCAGGAAAGGACCAAACATATAGAACTTGATTGTCATTTTATTCGTGAAAAATTATTGTCTAAAAAAATTTGCACTGAATTTATCGGTTCCAATGATCAACTTGTAGATGTGTTAACAAAGTCTTTAAGAAGACCTCGAATTGAATTTATTTGTTCAAAGCTTGACACATACAATTTGTATGCTCCAGCTTGAGGGGGAGTGTTAGAATTATTATTAGTTAGTGGTTAGTGGTTAGTAGTTAGTGGTTGGTGGTTGTTAGTAGTTGGTGGTTGTTTTAAATGTTGTAATCCTATATATATATGAGATCATAGAGTGGAGTAATGAATCCCACTAAATTAGAAATCTTCTTTTCACTCTCTTTACTCTCTTAACTTGGTATCAGAGCCAAAACCTAACATCTTTCCAGTTATTGTCATGGGCCAAAAATTACCCTTTAGTTGGGTCAAAAGTACCATTTGCCTGGTCCAGAAGGCTTCGTTGGAGGGGGTGTGTTGAAAGTCCCTCATCGCCTATCTCATGTCATTTTGTATGGTTTAAATACATGTTAGGCTACTCCACATATTGCCAATTGGTTTTATGTTGGAACCTTAACAGTATTCAATTTGCATTGACCCAAAGATAGTTATGTTCTCTTTGACGACTTCACAAATCTATCTGTTTGTATTCAGTTTGCACCTTAAAGCTTATAGGTAGCCCTCTTCGTAGCTAAACTCTCGACGAAAACACCAAACATTAGGACTTTAGCACAAGAGAAGAGTCCAATCCAAAAAACTAATCCATTAGATGGGAGAACCTCGGGACTTAAGTACCACAACAAGTAACTTATCCTACTCAATGTGGGACTCAATATAATCAAGATCAATTAGTTACTGTTGTTTGGCAGTTACAACAGTTGTCACTGTTGACAGTTACAACTATCTGTTAGGAACCAAGAATTAAACAGAAAAATAAAAGAAAGTTTCTTTATTGAATAGAATGAAAAGAACAAGAAATAGGAGAAGACTCTCCTCCAAGGGTTTCCCCTTCACAAAGGATTTCTCCTTTTACAAAGAGCTAATGCTCAATTTACAAAGAATATCCACACCCTTCTCCTATCCTTCACACTCTATTTATATCTAAACAACACCTTATGCAATTAACTAACTTATTAATATGCTAACTATCTTCCTAACTTCTCCTTCCCCTTATACCCTAACACTATCTCATTCTTGACTAGTATAGTGATATCGGTTAACTGAAAAATTGTATAGTTGTATTCTACATATTCAAACAACATCTACTATATTTTTTTCAGAGTTTTATCTCAATTTAATATGCTCATAAGAGCTCACTGATCCCAATCCAAGGCTTCTGCAACCAAACCTCCTCCCCCTCCTATTTCCATCTTACCACTCAACACTCATCCTCCAACTCTACACTCTTCATCTACTCCAGTGACTGCTTCAACTATTTTCCCACAATGACAAAAATTTACTCTTATGGCGAAATAAACTGAGCCAGTTATTAAAGCTCATTGCCTTCCCAATTTATTGTTGATCCTCATGTTCCTTCTCGATTACTCTATGAACAAAGATTGCAATGCTAATCAGGTTAATCCAAAATATCTATCTTGCATGGGGGTAGAGGGGAAACGTAAAATTGTGAGGAAGAACATGAGTAATAAAAATGTAAAAGGAGAAAATCAAAACATAAATATGTTATAGTTTTTTGGTTTTAAAAACTAAAAGTGAGATATTAATTCTGAAAATAGTTTACAAAAACTACTCTTTAAAAAAGAAGAAAACTGTTTTCAAAAACAGGAAACATACACAACCTTAGTCTCCTCACTCTTTCAAAAACATTGAGCACATCATGAAACTCTTCCATAGCAAAAAGAGTAAAAACACACTTGACAATGCAAAAAAGCATGAAGCATTTTTCCACTCTAACCAGGTACATAAGTATATCAAACAAATCAGGGGAAACATATGTTAAGGTCTGTGAATCTGAAACACTGCATTTTCTTATGGTGTTTCATAATACCTATATTACCCCTAGGGTTTCTAAATCATAGTATATAATCACATAATTTCCAATTTTTAGTTACTTTATTCTACACCACAGTCATCTTTCTACCCTGCTAAGCAACCCAAATTTTAAGTTCACTGATTAAACAGAGTAACCTCTACTATGACACAGCACCCTTGTTCTGTTCTGCCCATTCGAATACAAGATATCATATAACGCCTCACTTTTTTATGAACATTAATCATTATTAGTGGCAGTAACAAAGCAAACTAAGGGGTCTGGCTCAGTTGGTTGAGCAGTGTATGCAAGTTGTTATAGACCACCTTAAATGATATTCAAAAGAACAATTCTTATATATAAGAAGCTAATATAATGATAAAAGTGTCTCGTACCAAGCTCAAGAAATAAAACAGATATGACTGACAGAACGTGCTCATTTGGAATTCCATCAATAGAAGAAAGGGCACTCTCAAAAACAGCACATGTTGATTTTATCGCATCTGCTTTAACACCTTCCAGACTACTATCATGAGATGTTTGATCTGTGCCCATTAACATGCTTAAGGGAGAAATATGATGCTTGAGCACATCATTCAAAATACTTGAAGCCTGTGATGCAGTGTTTCCATCAAGAGTTAGAAGACCTAAGTTCAACATTAGTAGCTTGAATCAGAAAAACAGCATAGAAAAGGAAAAACACAAGGGGTTAACAGCAGTATCAATAAAATTAAGTATTTCACAACACAAATACCCCCAAACCATTAATTCAATAAAACCATTAACTAAATAACAAATAACCTTCAAATGCTGCATGGAAGATATCAGAACGAGAAATTAATGTGTTAAAGAAAATACAGCTTTCAAAACAATGTTCCCACAGTGACATATTTATCATCAACAGTAATAAGTTCTTTAGGATTATATTAGATTCAAACTGCAGAAATTTTAAAGTTTGAACAAGATACAACTTGACATAAAAATCCCTTAGCAGAAATCCAAAGTGAAAAACAGCCAACTATTGCTATGTGGTTACATGAAAAATGTTTTAAAAGGGAACTATTGATAGATTTTGATTTTCTAATTCACTAATTAATGATGTAATGATATGATCAATAGTAACTTCATACAGCATATGTTTCAATAAAAAAAATCAGAAGCTAGTGTTTAGCATGTAACCAGATAAAATAAAATAATTAGAAAAATACTAGATTAAATTTTCTACAATTGATGAACATGGATGAACATACATACCCATCACAGATCTGCAAACTGGAGGGAGATTCTTGACCCACAAGCTTGATTGTCCATTATAAAGTAAGTCCATTGCAAGTCTTAATAACTTTGCTGCCAAAATCACAGCATCCAAGGGGTTTTTATCCCTCAAAGATACAAATGAAGTAAGAGAAACTACAACGTCCTCTGTCTCCAGAACTTTATTTTTAATTCTCAAAGCTTCAAAAATAGCCTCAATAGTTTTAAGAGTGTGCCTTGCAAGTTCCGAAAACATGAAACTAAATAATTTATGCACTTCTGAAAGAACTTTCAGAATGACTTTCGTAGAAAGATATGGAGCAATGAGATTAATTAAATTCAGTACATGTAGGACATCCAGGTGTTCATGTTTCAAAACCTTATCTTCTTTACATTCATCAACAGTCCTCAAAGCATTTAACTTCAGTGCTAAAGCACAGCAACTTTTCAGCTCTGACAAAACCAACTTGCTAGCTTCCTTGGTAACCGTGGAGGATCTGATAAACTTGAAAACCTTCTCCACAGATTCTTGAGCACATCTGCGTACCTAAAACAAACAAACAAAACACAATTTAAACAAAGAAAAAGTGCATAACATCAGTGGTAAAATGATTAATAGCCATCAACCAATGTCTTGAAATCAAAGGACATAACCGAATGTTGCTTGCATGGCAAGGTATCACTAAATCTATGATGCATGATTGGATATAAACACAGTTTAAAACTAGAGTTGCAGTCACAGTTGCAGCACCAAAATTGCAGACAATTGCCAGTAGTTTCAACTAATTCCTTATGAAAGTGACTGCAGTGGACTCTAAGACCACCAATGTTAGCAAAACTGAATTTGAAGGCCATAATCAAATGCAGAACATTGACTACATTGCAAGGGAGAAACTATCATAGAATTAATCTACTGCAACTTAAAACATTGAATAAGATTATCCAAAAACAAAAACACAAAGACTGTAATCACAAAAATTGGGAGTGATACGATTGCAGGGACCAACGTCTGCAAAATTGGAAGGCCATAAATAAGTAAATGCGGAAGATGAAGTGCATTGCAAGCTCAAAAACTATCACCAAACGAATCTACCCATAATTGGATGCATAAGTTCAGTATGAAAAAGCGTAGCTCCATAGACTCTAACCTTGGGACGCTTGCAAATGGAGAACTTGAGCAATGTTTCAAAGCCCAATTTGATCCCATCCCAATCCTCCAAATCACAAAACGCAATCAAAACCCCCAAGCACTTCACCGTAGCCCTCACGCACGCCGCCCCCAACTCCTCTCCCTCCCTGGTTAGCACCGCAACGAGGATCTCGGCTGCCTCGTGCGACTTTGGTGCCGTAATTCCGCCGGGCGGCACGAGGGGGAGGGCAATGGACATGAAGGAAACGAGGGCGGAGAGAGCGACGGGGTCCAGAGCCTCCGTGGCGTCGAGAGCGGAGATGGCGGCAGCGAAGTAGGCGGGCGGCGTAAGGGGTAGGGACTCGGCGGCAAGGTTGGAGCGCAGGGCGGCGGCTGTGGCGAGGAGGTGGCGGTGCTGTGGCGCGGCGGAGTTGGCGTACCGGTCCATGAGCTGCTGGCAGAGGTCTGAACCTTCCTTGAATGGCTCCGCGTGTTCTTCTTCCATGGAATCTGTAGGTTCGGACTTTGGTTTGGAGAATTTTGTTTGGTGGGTGAAGAAGGAAGCAAGGGCGCAAAGCTGAAGGGTTTAAATGTTATAAGGGTTTATGCTTCTCAAGCAGGTTAAAAGTAAATTAAAAAGTTGTTAAGATGATTTTTTTCTTTTCTTCTGAAATAACCATCTTTGATTTATTTTTTATCTCTTATAAAATTTAAAATTATTATTTTAATCCTTACTAAAAAAAGGTTTTATCTTAGTCCTATAAAGAGTTTCTTTTCATTTTTATAGTTCAAAATTTGAAACCGCGCTTTTTAATTTTTAATATTCATTTTGATATCGATAACTTTACAAATTTTGAAAATTTTAGGAAAAAAAATATATTACCATAATTAAAACTCACTTTAATTATTGTCTTGAAAGTAAATGTCTTTACATATTTGTTATCTTATTAAGAAATTTAAAAAGATATTCATTTTAAATTAGTAAGAGTATGAGTGTTATTTAGCATAATATTAAAAAAAAAGTTAAGGGTAACTTTTCTTTAATAAAATAAAATATATTATTTAGAAACTTAAAACTATATACTATGACTAAATACTTAAATTTAAAAATTAAAATAAAACTAATATACTTTTACGCAGAAATTTCAATTCACTGTTAACTATAATTATGATGAAATAATGATGGTTGCTTCAGCACCCATAAATTTTTTTCCTACACCCTATAATTAAATTAAATATCATTTTATTTTATTTTATATTTATATTTATCTTTATTTTAAAAATGAATATGTATTTCCGAAAACACTCTCAAAACACCGAACCAACTTATAATATATTTCTGGAGACACGTATTCTAAAAAACCCAAATGTCAAATACGTTTTTAAAAAGTTTTTTTAAAATATTCTGAAATAATTTATATTTTTTAAACATTGGGAATGCGTTTTTTTTTTAAGTCTTTTCCAAAAACTTAATCTGAAACACTTAATTTATAATAAATTTTTGAAAAGTTTATTTTGAAAATGTAGTTTGAAATACTCATTTTGAAATACGTTTTTGACTGAAAATGTATTTTAAATTAGATGTTTTAAAATATATTTTTATAATAATTTTTATAGAATTCAATTTTATTTTTGTAATACTATTTTAAATTGAATAATTTAAGTTTATTTGTAATATTTAAGTGTAAGAATATGTAATTTATATATAATATTAACTATTACTTATTTTTAATTATTAAAAAATACTTTTAAATAAAAATAATAGAAAAAGATGAAGGTATAGAAATTATATACAAATAAAAAAAATAAAAAATTAGGATAAAACATAAAACTATGAAAATAATATTTAAAATACTTGACGTGAGAGGTAGAAGAGAAGTTATGGAATAGAGGGAAAAAAACTTGATATAATAAACAAAAAATTTGTTCTTGGGTCCAAAAAAGCCCAACCCAGCATAATGAAAATAACTTTCTAAAATCCTACTGCATCTTTAATAATTAGAGATGTTATATAATTTTTAAGCTCCATATAGGAAATATGATTTTAGAAAAATTTTATTTTAATAAATAAATAATTTTAAAATCTTAAATAATTTTTTTAAGCTTTGTAAAAAAATTAATTTATTTTTTTAAATTATATTAAAAATTAATACAAATAATTTCATTTTATTAATAATAAAAATAATACATGTAACAATTAAAAAAATCTAAATACTAACAATTAATATAGAAAATTAAATTCCATAATTATTATGAAATGATTAAACGAAAGAACACCACATATATATATATATATATATATATATATATATATATATAAAAATTAATAATTTTTTTAGCAGACTTGTCAACTAAAAAATATCTTCCACACATTTTAAGTGTTTTTATTCATAATCTTTAATAAATATTTTAATTTGTTAATTCATTTGAAGCAACCATGTTAACATACTAATTTTAGCAACGTGACATGTTAACATATCTTTAAAAAATATATTATGATAATTTCGTGTCAAAATCAATAGAATTACTAAAATACCAAATCAATATATTTATTAAAATTGGAACATGGAAGAATACTAAATTTGTTTAAAATTATAAATTTTAATATGGAACAATTTTGAAGGTATTATATTTTTTGTTAAACATTCCTCTTATAAATGCTTCTTGAACTTATTTTCTTTGTAGGACATGTGGTGATGCTTATCAACATTTTGTACTGAAATGGAGGTTGCAAGTGTCCCTCTCAATAACTGTCCCTCAAAGCTTTAGGGTATTGGAATATGAATGGTCTGAAAGAGTGAAATGTTGGATAGATTTGTGAAGTGGTCCTACAAACAATTCTTCAACACAACACCAAATAGGGTAGTCTTTCAGGAACCTTCCTTTGCCAAGAGTGACAAATTCTGTCGGCGGGGACCAGACAATAACCTTTTTAATACTATGTACTCGTATAACTTCCATTTTGGATCATTCTTAAAGAAGGTAAAAATCTAATAAATAACTATATTTTAATATACTTATCAATAAATTGAAATGAAATTAATAATATATATATATATATATATATATATATATATATATTATTATTGGGATAAAGAGAGATGTCTCTTTTAGGTTTTGTCCTTCTTATTTATAATCAATTTTTTTAGAGTTTTTTCCTAGACGCATTTGTTGAACTCAATAATATCTTATTCTCCGTATTATCTACACATTCCGCACATTAGGTATCAATCAAGTTTATCTTCCCCAAATAGATTTATCTTGACCCATTTTACTCATGCAATTGGACCGAAACCGGACCTAATATATATGCACATACCAATTATTTATTATATATATTTTAAGAATAAAATATTGATAAATTATTTTTTAAAACGAGAGATAATATTAAACATAAATAACGTAATTTCTTTCTTAAAATATGATAAATATTAACTTTAACTATATTTCTGTATCTTCAATTTGAGATAATTTTTTTTAATTCCTCAAATTAAAAAATATACATTTATTATTTAAATTTAATAAGATATGATTTGAGTTTTTAAATACTATATCTGTGGAGTTAAAAATTGTTTTCAAAATTTCATTTTATTGTTTCAAGTTTAATGCTTACGGATTATTTATTTTTTAAGTAGAAGGATTAAAATAGTTTTGCGCTCAAATTAAAATAACATCTTTTTATATTTATTAGATATTATTTTAGTTCATAGATATTAAATTTAAAGCACTATAATTGTTTAAAAACTTATTTTAATATCTCTAATTTAATATTAAAATTGTACAGCGTGAGGTTTTAATTATTTGATTATAAATCATGTGTTTTTTAATTTTGAAGTTTTTTAACTATTGATTAGAAGTTTATATATATATATATATATATATATATATATATATATATTTTTTTTTTTCTTTTAATCATTGAAATGTTTTTCAAAGATATTTTTTTAATCCATTAAAACATCTTTTAAAAATAAAATTGTGATAGAAAAAAACTTCAAAATAACATTACGTAAATATTAACATGATATTATCATAACTAACACGAGTAACACTCAAATTTGTAGATGAAACATCTTTGTCATAACATATATCAACTGTAACAAACGTATTGATTATATTAAAGGTTTTTGAAATTGAAACCTTTACTTCTAAAAACTAAGTTCAGTCCCTTCGCGGAAAACTTGCACATCTTACGTAAACACTTTGCAAGTTTCTTGAACCACACAAAAATCTTAAATAATAACTTTTCACTGGTACGAACGCATAGATTCTATGACGGACTATTTACATTTATTTAAAGTTAAACAAATGTATTACCTCATATGGAGGAGAACCAATAAGAATACAACAATTTATAATACTAATAACTAACTTGAAATTCAATGACTCAATTATTATTATTATTACTTTTTCAATAAGTTATTTTGACATATCCATAATGGATGGAGAAGTTATCAATTCATTTCAACAAAAATTAAAGTCAACCAAGTAGTTTATTATTATTATTATTGAGTCCACGCATAATCATTTCAACCAAAATCTATCCTTTTCTTTATTCAGAAAAAAAAAAATTTGGCCTTTTTGCTTTTCCATGCATGCATGTTTCTTCTCCTTTGCACAAACGTAGCTTCGTAGTCCTATTTCCTAATATATTCCGATAAGATAATCTATTTTATACACTTCACACTACACCTTGTTTTAGTAAAATTTCTTTAAAGTTTTGGATACCCTTAAATTTTTTTTAAGATGACTAATTCAATTATTCGAATTCGATTTGCTGAAATTTTACTTCCTTATATACAATAATCTTATTTAATAAATTTTCACCATACTCGATCAATGTTGATTTGATACAAGACGTTGGTTAATATTTAGTCATTTTTATACAATTTTTTTATATTATTTTAAATATAAAAAAATATAATTCAACTTTATAAAACTACTAAAATAAAATAAATTTTTATCTTATTTATATATTATATATTTAATGAATGGGAAATTTCAAACGTTTTATTACTTACTATGTTCCAATTCATTCTAAATTATTTTCCTATGCATATTAATCAAAATTAAACACATTTTCAAAAACGGATAATATTTCGTCATTCAATTGGGATTAGTTAATTGAGATTATACTTGTAATATTATTGATTGAATTAAATTAAACTCGAAGTAGAGACACATTGATGGCATTTGTTTTGATGATTTTCTCTACTTTTAATTCTTTAACAACTTTGTGAAACACAATTATTAGTGCTCTTGTTCATTTACCACCGCGATAAAGTTTCTAAAAGCACTTATTTATGAATCAGAAATGTGAACGGGGTGTATGCGGCGTGGTCCTTTTGGGGGGTAAAGTAAGAAAAAAATGGTGTGAGTGAAAGTGAAAGGAAGAAGGAATGTGAGAGTGAGTGTAAAGCGCATTCATTGTGCCGCCATGTGCTCATCATTTTTATGCCTCTCTGCTTATTCTACTTTTATGAACCATAAAAGCCACCCAAACGCGTTTCTTACGCGCATTTCTCCCCAACCTTTTTGCCCAAACAAGGCCTATTGTTTCGAGCGGTGTAAAAGCAATATTTTCGGTTTAGTTTAATGAGAAAAGTTTATGGGTTAATGTATTCTAACTTCATTAACAACTTCTCAAGGAGAGAAAGATGACATACGTGGGAATCTTTTTTATAACATTGTATTATATATTTTTAAGTTGGATAGCATATCCCATTTCTAATTGAAATAAGATTTAATTTAGATTTTTTTTATGGCATCCTCAAATTTTGAGATAATTTTTCAATAATTTCAATATCTTTAAAGTAAGTTTTTATATTATTTAAAAAATAAATAAGTACTAAACATTATAAAATTAGTTCACTAAAATAATTATATTCAATTATATATTATAATGATATTGTATACTTAGTAGATGTGAAATTTTATTATATACTTCGATACAATAGAAAATTTTTAATAGTCTTAATATTATATATATAAAAATATCTAACTCTATCCTAAAAAATCACCTTAATAAAATTAATTTTTATAATAACTTATATATTATATAATATTTTATTACATTTACCACTTTGATAAATTTTGTTATTATTATATTAAAAATAAATAATATCTAATGTTATAAAATTATTAAGTAAAATAAAAAAATATATCCATCGATATATAATATCATATGAAATCTCATCTAATCAAAAGATTTTTTTTTCTACAAAATTTATATATATTTTTATTTGAAATATAATTTAAAATATTGATTAGTAACGTGGATAATATTAATAATTCAATATCCATATAAAATAATAACAAATTTTGTATATGTCGCGTGAAATGTTAATGACTTCATGATAAAAAAGAAAAAATATATCAGTGTTAATTAAAACTTATTAATTAAATTTGAAACTTAACAAAGTTCAAATAATTTATGTTATTAAATTAAATTATTTGTTAGAAAAACAATAGTTCTCAACGATAGAAAAATAATTTGCTTCAAACAGTTGGAAAACCGAAGAAGATAAAAATGTTTTATTTTGGTAAAGGGTACAACTCTTAGAAGAAAACTATGGCATACTTTTTACGTAATTTAATATCTAATTTTTTTCTTAAAATTTACATAGTACACGTAATTCTTGATTTCTTTTGAAAGAAGAAACATTTTCTATAATATATTATGAAATATAATAATAACTTATTTACTAAAAAACTTATCACATCTTTAGGAGTATCTATGATATAGTCATTAAGAACACCAAAACAAAGTTATTTAAGCCATGTAGTAGAAATTTTGTATTACAAATTTTACAAATAACTAATCTTGTTCAATCATATTTTTTTATTAACAAAGTTAAAATGTAAGATTATTAAAAAAAAAAACTGAATATCATTTGAATTGATTGCATAGAATTAATAAGGTTGATAAAAAAAAAAAAAACAATAGTTTCATTTTGGACAAGGACTTTAAAATGTGCATGTGAGTAGCCATTGTTTGATTCGGGAGGAGCCATGAAAGTCTATTATTCTCTTAACTTCATCATGCATTTTCAACTACCAGGACCACGCCACAATCCCCACCATTTAACTTTTAGTATCTTGGGATAAAAAAAGGTTTAATATTTCTGGTTCTTCATATTTAAATATGATAACACGATTGTTGAACCCTTCATATGAATTATTTGTCTATTATCCTACCTCTTGTTCAACACTATTGTGCAACTTTTACAATTTTAGGTTGAGAACTTTGCTAGGATTCTTCATTATTGTAAGTTGCGTTTATGGCTACTAGACATGAGGTATGTTGATGTTTATTCACATCTAATTGTATAATCAATCAATAATGATGTAATTTTTTTAGATCATCACTTCTTATGTTTCTCAAGACATGTGTGAGATTTTATGTTTTTGAAGAAGATATTAGAGTTTGGACTGAATGCGTCGGTCATATTGGGACTGAATGAAACAAATAGATTGCAAAGAGATAAAGATGGTCTAATAGCCTGCTTTAAGCCGTGTAAGGAAATGTGATGAGTTTTAATGGATTACCTGTATGAGATAATTTCATATGAATCTTTTTATATAGATATGATTTAAGAAAATATTATTTATATAACTTGTTGAAATTAATGTTTTCAAAAATTGACAAAAGATATAAAATTTAAATTTAAAGATTTAATTGATAAACCAAATTTAATAAAATAATATTTTTATAATATAATAAATATATAATAAATTTATTAATAGTTATGTTTTTTTTATAAGTGAAAATTTCTTTTATTATTATTATTATCTCATCATAATTAAGTTATAATAAAAATTATAAATAAAATATATATTAAAAATATAAGATAAATAAATAATTGTTAAAATAAGATGAAAATATAATAAAATAATTATTATTTAAAATTGATTATAATTAACATAAGATAAAAAAAATAAAACATGATATATCTTTTATAAAAAAAATATAATTTTTATCAGAAGTGTTATGATAAAAAATTAGTCAATTATTTTATTTTATTTTAATTTAATTAAAATCTATTTATATAAAAATAACGAATTAATTTATAAATGGAAGAAAGAAGCCCGGGATTTTTCAATTTTAAAATAGTGTGCGAAAGTATCTTTATGAATAGTCAAGGTAAGATAAGAGAAAGTAACCAACACTCTCATGGAGTATATCATTTTGCAACAAGACTACAATACCTCTGTTAGCCTTATATTTGACTTTGGAAACTCATGTACATTTAAATGGAGACTTGCCAGAAGGTAAATCAGTAAGATACTACATATTATTATAGTTTATAAAGCATCAATTTCAACCTCCCTGTAAGAACCCAACAAGGGAATTGTACCAGTTGTATTGTTTCATTATCTTTCCAAGTTTTATAATTTATATTAATATTTATAATTTCATCTTCCATTAAATTTAATAATTATTAAATATTACGGTTTATATACTTATAAATTTTATCTTATTTTTTATATTTATTAATTATATATTATTTAATTTTATTAAAATATTCTTTTATTTTTTATATTTATTTATTATTTATTAATAATATATTATTTCACTCACTGTTAAAAAGACAAAGAAGTGTCAGAAAGAATCAAAGATAAAGGAAAAGAAGCTTTATGAAATACATGAAATATGAAATAGAGATGGATTGAAGCTGAGTCGACTTTGAAAAATCCTTCGAGAAGAGATGAGTTCTTCAAGTTCTTGTAGATAGATGAAGGATAAGTATATAGGGTTGACGAAACACTTGAACATCATCCTTATCATGACGAGAAAAAGTTGCGTAAGAATGATTGGGTAAAGAAACTAAGAAAAAAAAAAAAAAAGTTGAAATTTGATTACTGTGAAATTATGTGGAAAAACATGTTGATGGAAATAATATATTTAGAGAAAATTATGCTCTCCAGGTCCAGATTTTCAGTGATTGGGACGGGATATATTGTCAAAAACTCATCGCACAACTAGAATAAATGACCTATTTACTTCAGCATCTGTGTACCCCCCATTTAATTTTCATCAACACACAGAACATTTAAGATATATATATTCAATATCATGTATGAGAAAACCTCTGATCCTACACTTTTTACTGCTATCTTCTCCAAGTTGGTATGGGAGTGCTTAATATACACGCTTGAGGGAATATTAGGATAATATATTTGTTGGAAGTTTGTAATAACTGTTTTCTATTTTTTCTATCTTTGTTAGAAATTTGTTAATAACTGTTTCTGTTTTCTCCCTTGTAACCGTTCTTATAAATAAGTGTCACAATGACTTGTATAATCAATCGATAATATCATATGTTCTTAGTCATCACAGTTTCTGTTTCTCAAAACATCTATCTGTCATGGTTTCTGTTTTTTAATAAATAATAGTAATCATAATCATAATAAGATAACATAATTTAATACAAATTAACTCATAATAACAAACACATTTTTTGTTTTCATTATATTGTGATAAGTGTAGAAGAAAAGCAATACATATACACCCGCCTTTCTAACCAATAACAAATTATAAAACAATAAAACACAAACTTGACAAAATAAAAGAATTGGACCTGTCCATGTCTAGTGTCTTCATTGCTACAATATGCAAGCATTGCAAGAGGCAGCAGCAATCTAAAAGGAGAACTAAAAAAACACTCTCCATGCAGCGTCACATTCAAACTTGGACACTAACCACAGCTACGTCCATTATATAGGCCCGAAAGCAAAACGCTATTATATGAACCCAAACTATGGTATATACCCAATAAACCCTATCCAACATATACGAGGATTTTAAGATTACTGAGGAAAGGTATAGTAACAAAAGGAGATTGCACTCGTTGATTGCAAGTCTAGAACAATTCGAATTTCTTTTTCAGCATATCTTGCTTCCATCTTGGCAACTTGTAAAATGCTTCTTTTGCCATTCCAAAAACATTATTGAACTCCTCCTCCGACAGATAGGCCTGACCGATAAAAATGAAAGAAATTTTTTATTTTGATCTATGCATAAAATTAAGAGAGAATATTATACCTTAACCAAAGTTGAATGCAGTTAAAGATGGTTTAATATAAATTCGCGGTAGGCGCTTCTGATTTTATCTCATTTCAGTGTGTTATATCATTCAAAATTTCAGGTCGGGAGTGTATATTTCAGATTAAAATTAATATTATATAATATCAGCAGAAAGAGACTAACCTCTCTCCGTTTAAGATCAATTCCAGCTATATTGACAGATTTGCTCTTTAATTCTTCATAACTGAACGTCCTTTGACTATCATTTGCCGCGTCCACGTTTTCTTGTTTTGTTTCCATATCCTCATTGCTACCGGTTTCAGGGGCAAGTTCCTCTGTTGTTTCCTTGGCTTCTGCAACTTCCTCAACTTCTGAAGAATCACTTTTAGTTTCTGCAGCAAGAACTTGAACACAAAATATTGTGCAAAGGTTGGTCAATTTTGTCTTTTAGTGCAAAACAGGCATTTAATTCTAGGCTTCCTATTACGGAAAGGAAAACAAATTATAAGTTAATAAATTAGCATGTGTTGTTCTTCTGTTAAATCTGAATAAAGCTGGAGGTTTTTAAGATGTTCCAAGAATATAGTACAACAAAGGGTATGTTTGGGCAAACTTTTCCATATGTATGTCTAGTAGAAGAAAATAAGAAGAAAAAAGCGAAATAAGTTTCTCTATAAACTAAAATCAGTATATGTATATACTGATTATAACATGGAGAAATTTGGCTCATTTTTACTTATTATTTATTTCCTAAAAGTGCATGTAGAAAAGTTTGTCCAAACATGCCTACTGTACGGCAAGTTTGCAGTCATTGTAGTTTTCAAAGGTAATTGCAGAATATATTATTGTGATTAAATCAGTAAACAAGGTCATTATTAGAATTGTACGAAAATGATATACATCAATTATTCAAAAGAAAAACACAAAAACATAATAGGCTGTTGTAAAATATTGAACCTGGCAATCCCATTGTATTCATTGAATGCAACATCACATTTAGATAATAAGAACTACTTTTCTTACCAGTGGGACTATTTTCAGTGAGAGGACTATTGCCAGTCACAGGAGACCCATCAGGTGTATTTTTCTTCTTTTCAGCAGTAAGAACAGATGAAAGAGCAGCCACCGCTGCTGCTCTTTGTGATCCTTGACCTTTTCCAGATGCCCTAGGAGTTACAGCCTTTGGCCCAGATGATGAATTAAATGCAGAGTTTAAAGCGGCTAAAGCTTCTGCCCTTTGTCTTGGTCCTCCTTGGCTTAAACCATTCAATCTATCTTGTGTCTGCAAGAACACCAAAGTTTAATTAGGTCACTGATGATAATTGAACAGAAACCAGATTATCAAAACAACAGAATCGCAAAGAACACAGATGATCTCCACTTGGGGGTAATATTGAATGCCGTGAACCCACTAAGATATTAATTTATTCTCTCTGATACATTCATTCAGAGAAGGAATTCTAAAACTTCACCAGTATAACTTCCATTGACAAAATAAAAGGAATGCTCAATTTAATATTCTATTTGTTATACTGAATTACCAAATAATCTACTTTTGGTTTAATGAACATTGACTATAAAAGTGCAAACCAAAAAGGTACTGAAATATCTATAAATGTAACCATACCGCACTGGATACTTTCTCAGATGATGAACTAAATGCATTAGATAAGGCAGCCAAAGCTTCAGCTCTTTGTCTTGGTCCCCCTTGACTTGACCCGTTTGACTTATCCTGTCATCAGAATCAGCAAAGCCTCGTTAGACAGTGGAACACAGCATATTAATTGATCCCAACTACTACAAAGTCAGACATGGTATTTATTAAACTGACAAATTCCATGTCCACAAACTTATACAAGAGGGGGGAGGGGCTGACGTTGAGAAATAGTTTATTGCAGGCGTTAAGGATGGTTGGTTCTTAAGATAGAGCAAGTGAGTTAAGGTAAATCATGAATAACAATGGTCCAGAATTCAATCATTAAATTTAAAATTTAATTTAAGGCATTTGAATTAGTAATTCATATTTATGATTATTCTAATGTTTTTCTGCATTGCCATATTATTAGTTGGATCTTTGCAAGTAAACACATTGCTTATTACTGAAGTTCATCTTTGGATGGTTTTTATAAAATATGATACAATAGTCTGGAAACTGGATTAATTGCATGGTTCGAAAACATTTATCGAATAAAAATTAGCTGAGCCGTACCTCGACAGCATGGCCAATTCCAAAGAATAATGCCACCTTTTTCTGAAATGAGTTTCCCTGAACCTGCATGGTAAGTTTCATTAGAAAGTCTCTCAACTACCTCTCACATAGACAGCACTAAAATTAGCACTTCTTCATGCATGGGAGCTGTACTATGTTATATTGTGAACCCTATACACGATAAAGACAACAATAATATAACGGGATGTCACTATACTTGCTAGTCAGCCAATAAATATGTTTTGTTCTCAACCAACAAAGGCATGCAAAATGCAGCCAAAGATTAAGAGTGAGAATAATTATTTTTTCAAAAAAACAAAAAACAAAAAGACAAATCAAACTGGATTAGGGACATTTTTATGTTTAAGTACATACCATAGCTTTTGCATTATCCCATGAAAAGTATGTTGTGAAAAAGCAAGGTTCATTCCCTTCCGTTACTTTATATATTGGTACATGTGGAGATAGTCCCTCCAAAGATGCCGCCATATCTATGTATTTCTGAGGGAAATATTTGAGTATGCATCAGGAATTTCAATTAGGAGAAATATATAGGAAATAAAAACCATAAATTGTTTAGCAAGTTACCTGGCCAATTTCAAAAGCATTTTGCTTTTCTTTTGGGTCCACAGAATGACCAACCCAAATAAACACTTCTGCATGTGTGTCAAGTACAAGGATATCCTCTGGCAGCAGGTCATCTTGAGTGAAGTTGTAAACCTCCTCTACCTGCAGAGTAGAATACAAAATAAATAAATAAATTAGAATACAATAAAAAACTTGTGGTTACTGCTGACAATTTTCCTAAAAATAGGGGAAATTTTATGAAGTTGTAGTAACAAAACTCACCTTGAACTTTCCTGGTGGACCCACAATGGCAAAGAACAAACAAAAATAGAAATGGTCAGTATATAACGCAATAAGTACGCAATTGTATACTAATAACATATAATAGGTAACATGACAAAATTCTACCTTTATTAAATGATAAAGTGAACAAATGTGGATCTCTGACAACCTCGTTAACAACTTTCTTGCTGGTGTAAGCTTGTTTTCCTCCTAGCGCAGACCAGAAAGCTGAGCTTTCTGTTCCTTCTTTAGCATGCTTTAAAGTAACTCCTGGCTGAACATGGATAGTTTTCTCGTAAGCAAATAATGTGTATAACAAACATATTATTATTATTATTATTATTTTATTGTAATGTTAAAAAAAAAAAAGTTTATGTAGATAGAGGTGACAAATAAGAGAAAGAAATAAAAGAGAAACATAGTAGAAAAATTTAACTGGTCGAATTAATAAAAAAGGTAAGGAAATAAATTTATATTAGAATTAGGCTTAATCAAGTTTATCGTACCTAAGTCACAGGGGTCTTTTGGTTTGTTCTTAAATTTTAGTACTCGATAACTTTTTTTAAATCGTGCCTTCTGTTAACTGTTAAAGTTAAGGTTGATGCCGTCATTTCAATTGCCACATTAGCAGCAAAAATAGCTAAATCAGCTATGCTAATGTCACCAAAAGAGTCACATCAATATATGATGTGCGCAAGGACTAAAACAAAAAAATAATATATTTATATGGACTAAAATAAAAAGATAATATATTTGCAGGAATTACTAACACAAAAAATATTTGCAGGAACTACTAACAAAAACAATATTTGCAAGAACTAAACATAAAAAAAAAACTTATTTAGAAGGACTAAGGTAAAAATAACATAAATAAATTATGTAATAAAGAAAACCTGAACATACGATGCAGTTTTTTAAGTTTTTTTCTGTCCTGGGTTTCTCCCAATTTATTGAGCAGAGATTAATCCCACTCAATGTGTAAAAAATGGGTCACTCGATCGACCAAATAGAAAAATGTGTTTTAAAATGCATCTAGGCCATTTTAACTTGCAGACTACTCTTTCTACCCTAGCTTACGGGATTTTCGGGTCAGCCTATTTTGAAAATTGTCAATATTGATCTCAGTTATTAGTTTTAAAATGGAAAAAAAAATTACAATCCATTTTTATACAATTTTAAAATATTATTTTTTGATAGATTGATGGAAAGAGAATGAAATAAGATAGATAAATAATAATATAAAAAATTAAAAATAAATTATTGAATGATGATTTTATCATTTGGTGTGAAAATATAAATACTCTTTTAAAATTGGTTAAATAAGTAATGTTGAACACTAATATAATTTATCCTTTTTAATTTCGTTCAAATGTTATAATTTTAGTTTTATAAAAAATTAATAATAATAAACTCGGCCTAATTTTACTTCTACTCTAAATATATTTAATAAATATTATCTACATTTATTACTATAATCCTTATAAATAAGTTGCTTTATTTGTGCAGTTGTTACTAATATGCTTTTTTTAATCCTTAAAAATGTTATTTTTAACTTCGGTCTTCTACAAATATATAGTTTTTTGTTTTTAGTTCTTACGTGACTATTTGTGACAGCATCGCTGATTTGACAGAGTTTACCGACAAGGCATGTTATGACATCATAACTTTAACTTTGACAATTAAATTAACGCCAGGGGCGAGTTAAAAAAAAAAAAAATTGCCAAGGACTTATAAAAAACGAAAACCAAAAGACCCCTTAACTGTCTGGGACGGAAAAAGTTAATTAAGCCTATAATTTATATTTTCATCCTTTAAAAGATTTTTTCGCACAACTATTTCTTTATAAGAGAAAAAGAAAACAAACATGAATCCGGCCACGATCCTATGCCAGACATTCTACCCAAACACAATTTCAATTCATCAATAAAAAAGTGAGCTAAACTTCGAAATGAAGCTTCTCAACTAGGGGCATGTTGTGTCACCACACCCCTCTATATCAAAACATGTTCCGTTCCAGATCTTTAGAAATTATCACACAATCAAATATGTTTAATTGTATAAAATGAGAATTGTTCAATCTGTAAATTTGTATGGAAGTGCTTCAATAATTTAGAATATGAGCAACAAAGTAGAGCCAAGATCTTACCCTTAAAAATTCAGCAACCTTTGCTGCTAGCTGTTGCTGCTCAAAGGAACACTGATTTCCATGCCAGGTGAACATTGTAGAGCCGGATTGCAGGACAAAACACTCCGTAGAATTCAATGATGACGGCACCTGAATAAGAATGACATAAATATGAGAACTAGGAAAATAAAATAAAATATAAGCCCTACCAATATAATATGGAGAGGCAGAATATGAATATTTTCATGGGTACATACTGCATCAACTTGTACTGATTTATTGTTATGAATAGAAGTTCCAGAAATTCGAATAAGTGCAATACACTCTGTTGTGTATGTCTCATCTGATGCACCTTTCTCTTCTATTGATGTCTTGTATCCAGAGCTCAATCCTCCCTAAAATAGGTGTAAGTTAGAAAAAATAATAAGTTTTTCTAAACAATACTATGTACTATTTAAAACAATGTATAGAGTATTGCTCATGATACCTTAAGTATCACCATTGGTTGGAAAAGAGCAACAAATTGAGGTGGTTCTTTGCCTTCGAAGATGCGACCCTGAAAGAAACTAGTGAGTTATACACGTTTTCCAGGCAATATCTTCAACTTGACATTAGTATAACAATACCTGTACAGGTCTACCCTTTAATGAGGTAAACATTGTATTGGTCAACCGAGTAGCTGTTGTTTGGTCCTCCTGAACAGTAAATTTAACTCAAGGTCAAAACATTCAATTTGATTAAGAGTAGGGATAAATAATTATGAAACAAATAATAGGTACTAAACAATGTTATACTACTAATTATACTGGGGGAAATTGCCGGAAGAAATCTTTAAGTAGTTGATTAACAGGTGATTACTCATTAACCACTTTTTGAACAGTGTTATCAGTAAAATGGTCAATTACCAGTATTCCAACACTGTTCCTTCCACAAGAAGGAGAATTTTAACCAGTTTTACTTTTAATGGTACCAAAAACAACACTTCTATGTAGATCCCCTCTTTTCGTTGTAATCTTATTATCTAAGAGTGAAGATACCAAGAAATATGTATATGTATTGCTTGTATAGTTTATACAGGTATAGATTGCTTGATATGGGATGCCAAGTACAGATATATTATAGATCATCGTAACTAATAGAGTATAGTTTGATCACATCTATCTAAAGATATATTGCCATCGATAAATAAAGCTAATAGACTTTGTAGTCTACTTCCACATAGATAGGCCTTGACATTCAGAATGTCAATCAAAGCCAAATTTTGAAACCAAGTTGTAATAAAATAAACCATGTTTGCCTATACATCGAAATTCTAGTTCAGTCCTAATTGAGTTGGCACTAAAAGGTAAATGTCAAACGAAATTATGATCCTGAAAATATATCTGGTTTCAATCTAAAGGACAAAAAATTACCTCGGTGCTGTCTTTGCCAAACCAACAGCACAAGAAGTAGTCTTCTTTCCTCTCACCAGCGTGGTAAGTGTACAGAACAATGTAACAATCTCCACTATAAAATTTACCAATGTCCTCTTTTGGCAATGCAGTCTTGGCATTTCCATTAATTAGCCATACCTAAAAAATTTAAATAATATTACATGTCCACAGGTGTAAATTAAATAATAGCAGGGAAAGTTTACAAAGAAAAGTATAAACCCACCTCTATCTTCCCACCTCCTTCAAGCAAAGGTGGAATTTCCTCATTTATAGGGGTATTTTTTGTCATTCCTTTGACACCCATTCCTTGTTGCTTAAGCAGTGCTGGCAGTACATCAAATAGCACACTTGTCAGTATGGCTGCCTACACACAATGGCAAGTCAAAGTACAAGATAAAGACATGATATCCACCTGCAACTTTTCCTCTTCCTTCCTCCGCATTGGTATTAGCAGATCCTGATGGCCAAGAATCAAAGTTGGACTTAAATGAATGTGTCTCATAACCTTGAATAACCCTTGTTATCCTAGTAGCTTTTGGCCTATTTTGGCTTGTAACAAACTCCTGCAGATATTCATAAATTAATATCCACTTTTAACTAACGCATGGGTTCTGTAAGAACTAGATTCTTCAATGGAATTACCTCAACAGCCTGGCCGGCAGCCTTTCGTTCTTCAACTTGTGTCACGCGACCAACCCAGACAAATATCTCAGCACCACAGTCCAATAAATAGCATTTGTTGTTTTCCAACAATGATTTAGACAGTTCACCTTCCACGGGATTAATGTCACCATCAACAATACTGGAAGGAGAAAGCATATGAAGTTATTCTTCATTTTAGTTATCAGAATATAGCACTGTCAATGATTATAATGCTAATCAACACATGATAATGTTATCATATTTTCCAGGTCAAAAGACTTAAATGACTAACACGAACATAGAGAACACAATGAAACATAAACTTGATATGAATTTTATATAGGTAAAATTCTTCAATTCCCCACCAAGCATCTCATACTATTCATTGTATCATTTGGGCACTCCATAATATTCAACCCTATCATAGCACCACCCTGAGAACCAACATCTCTGTGGGTCACTTTATAGTACTTCATTATGTTACAAATCACTTAACTTCCTTGTTAGTCTGGACCATCTGTAGATATCACTTTCAGAGACCCAAACAACCAGCTCTAATACCGATGATGAGCACTCAAGAACTTGAATACTAGACTGAGTCTCTCAAACTACTTAATGTGGGATTTAGAAACCCCATAATACCCAAGTCCCTATCATTACATGTTTTAACTAATATAATGATAATGTTATTTAACGAAAAGAAATTTTTTCCTGAGTGTAATTCAAAAAGCAGAAACAAAAAGACATCTTCATGATTCAGATTGAATTAGAAGAATTAAAGAGTGCATGATTTCCAACAAAATTTCTTTATCTAACACAATACACAGAAATTGAGTATAAAATATGTGCATTCATATTTCTAATCATTAGCATCTGCCATAAAAAAATAATATAATCTCAAGATATATAGTAATATAAATGACATTGACCAATAAGTGGCATTCGGCTCTATAAGCCAATTGTCAATAAATATATCTAGAGCAAGATCCTTTTGATAGCATCTCTAAAAATCTTATCTGATTTTCTTATCCCTTTCTTAATCAGACTATCTATCCACATATCCATCTTGTGCATTAGGTTTCTATAAATTTTCCCCTACCATTGACAAAACAAGACCTTATTATCCTATTTTTTACAAAATAAGATAATATTGCAATTGATTATAAATAACTTTTCTAATCGTCTTTAATCTTAGTTGCATATAAGATGATTTACTGATTTAAAAAAATTATATTGTAGCTGAAAGTTCATTTGTCTTGAAAGTACTATTTGGTCTTTGTTAAAAATTGGCCAAAGACAGTCTCTAACTGTATCACCTTCTCATAGCAGGTGCATTGAAAGGGGGATGGGCGACAGGAGTGTGAAGAGCACAAAAACATACCTATAAAGCTGAGCAGGAATTGTCTCTGGAATAATATCATCCTCACTTATTACTTTCTTCCCAATGGGAGCAAAACCACCAAAGAGGACCCAAAATTCACCAGAGTCTGACTCTGTGTCTAACTTGCCATCGTCTGAAAAGTGGGGTATTTTTATGAAGTGAAAAATAAATGAAAGTGCATCTGAAGAACAGAAGTACTGATTTATATAATAGGAAAATTTCCCTTACCAACAATTGCAACATCACATTTCCCTTCATGATATTTTTCTTTAAGGAGTTGTATAACTTCCAAAGCCTTTGCTCTTTCCTGAATATTGGAATTTGCACCATTGAATTGATAAATCTTATCCTGAGTGTCTAGTATGAATACATCATCATGGTTCAATGAAGACCTTGCAAAAGGGACCTGTCAAAGCAAAATATCAAACAGCATGTTCACCCAATTAATGAAGTTAATGAAAAGAGAAAACTATACCTGTCTCAACCTAACAACTCTTTTCCCTCTGCACACATACAAACGTGTTTCGAACTCCTCTTCTTCAGGTTTTCTAAACCCAGATGCAACACCACCCTCTAATGGTATTATACATGGTCTAAAGTATGATAAAAACTTGTCAGATTCATGTCCTTGGATTTCCCTGTGCTGGACTGCACGCCCTCCAAGAGCAGCATCAAGTTCAACAGTTTTAATGGCTGCAGTTCCAGCCTCATCCTACAAGTAACATCACTATTATTTTGTCAAAAAGATATTTATTGATTAAAAGATTCCCAAGCAACCGTAAACCATGTGGAAAATAACTCAAAGATCAAAATATTATTTAAAAAGAAACTGTAAAAAAAACCTTGAAATAGTTAATTTTCAAAAAAACACAACTCTACAAGCTTTGACATGCCACTCACCTTTTCATTTTAGGATGGACAAAAAAGTAATGTGAGACAAATTAGGCAAGATTCAGAATGGAGAAGGAGGAAGGTGAAAGTCCAAACTTACTTGACTTGTATCTTTTCCAAGCCAGAAGTGTAAATCATAAAAATAAGTGCCTCCTTTGTTTTGAGTTGTCTGCAACATAAAAAATGATTGCTCAAATATTTTGAACAGAAAAGACAGCAACCAATATATCACACATAATGAAATTATGTCAATCACTTTGAATAAAGAGGAGATATTGCATTGTTTCCCTTTCACATCATGCAAATTGTAACTTACCCCGTGGATTTTGTACTACAATCTTTAGAGAATGAAATGAGTAATTTACAGCATTGCACAGAGAGCTAAGAGATTAACTATCTCCCTGACTTTTTAAAGCATTGCACAGAGAGCTAAAAGAGATTAACTATCTCCATGACTTATTCACAGCATTGAACAGAGAGTTAAAAATGATTAACTATATCCAAAATATCCAACCTTATCACCAAACTACAACAAAACATACACTTGAAATATATGAATGCATCAAATAAAATAATAATGGATATAGTTCACACCTGCAAGATGATGTACGAATCTCCCATGTAGAATTTCCCATGATCAGATTTGGGCAACGGAACTGGCTGAAAATTCTCAATCCTCCATATTTCAGTTCCTCTACAGAATGTCAAGTTTCAAAATCTCAAAGCAACATTACATTCAATACATGTAAAATATAACATGATTGCTAGACATAAAATTAGTCATGTCTTAACCCAACAAGCTTATTTGGGGTAAAAAGTTCATGACATGGAACCAGAGTCTCTATAACCTAAAGGTAAACTTTAATACAATGAAGCTTCTTGTGAGTTGACATAAAGCCATTTTACACACCTTCACCCAATAGATAGCTTAGGTTCATGAAAGTGAATCAGTCATGTTTATAGCAAAAGATTAGTTACTCATGGTTTGATTCTTCTCCCAGCACTAGGTTTTTATTTAACTTTTCAATATATGTAGTTTTCTTATTTTTTTTATAAAGCAAACACTTTACATAAAGGATACACTCTTTGACCAACTCCCTGAAAAGCAGGATCCATAATTTTTGCTGAGCTAGACATGACTCAAGTTCCTTCTACAGTATCCTTTCTTTACAATGTCTGCAAATTCTAAGGTAATCCACTGCATGAAGAAACCAAGGTTAAGAATAAATAAGCATGAAAATATCATTCATCACTGTTTACATAAAGTAGTTGCATATTCTCTTAAAGTACAATATTGTGCATATGACTGCATGATTAAAGCTTGTGGGTATCAAAGGAGGTGTAGAGAACAACAAGCATCAAAAGCCTTCACTTCCCTAAACATCAAATATTTTTCTATATCTTTCAACTATAAACCATGACCAAGGCTGAAAGATTCTAATGTCTGATGTTGGAGAATAAATTAGAGAATTTCGAAGCCTCTCATCCCAAATTCCAACAGGTTCTTTTAATATAAATTGTCTTAATATGACTTATCCACAGCATTATAAGCACAGATAACAAACAAATTACATGTTCATAAATTTGGAAAAAGACTAAATCAAGGACAACAGAACAACTTAGGTTTACTATGGAGAACCTTATATTAGACATATTATGTTGTTTAAAAGATGAGGAAAGTAAAAAGGGATTGGAAAATCAAGAAGGCTGCCCTCTTTTTCATGTTATGAAAATGGTCAATTTTTGGGTTTCACGTTACAAATTATTCATTTAAATTCTTTTAGAAGCCAGAGTGAAATACAGATTCATATGGAATTAAAAATCCAAACATCTACTAAACATGGCCTGTTGTATTAACCAATATCAATAGGTATTGTGGAAGTTTCATGTCAACATCTAATTTCAAAATAATATCAAGTATTATGATATAATGTTTTGTATCAAATCTTTCGACCATGATAGACATGGACTTAGACTAAAGATTGGCACCTAGGGTTTAAATTACATGGATATCAGTTTATTAGGTGGAAAACACATAAAATCCATCTTGCTCTTATGCAGAAAAGGGAACATATGTTGAGATCAACAGTGTATCTGCATTCAGGTTTAAACTTTGGGATGTTAAAACTAAGTAGTCCAACCAACTGAACTAAAGGCATTCGTCTCCATATATTCAGACAAAAAGTAAGTTGCCTACCTAAAACTAGTCTGCAATAAATATTTCAAATTTAGCCAAGCGACAATTTTCCCTTGACTATTTGCATACATAGATACTTACACAGACACACACAGAAACATAAGTTAGGATAAACAAACTTAGATCCATTCTGTTCAGATTGGATTTCCAGTCAAACAAGTTGTTTTAGTTGACAAAAAACTGTGCATAATAGACACAGGGGATTTTTTTGTCTTCATGTTGTATGAGTTGTATAACGGAAGAAAGCAAAAATAATAACATACAAGGCCAAAAACATCACTTGTGGAATGTAATCACTAATGCGTTACTCACGAAGCACAGATTTTTAAGTGCTATTCCGTGAAGATCACACTCTGCTTTGCAATCCTAAATAATATAATTTAAAAAGTTTCATGCCAACGAATCTAAAATACCTTCCATAACAAGGTTTGACCAGTCATTCTATACAGTAACATGAGATGTCTTGTCAATTTTCTAAAGCAATGTTTAAGATGGTAAAAAATAAAATCTTTTTAATTTATCTTTATCTGAAGAAAAACTCATTGGTGTCTGATTCAACCATCCATGTTTAGGCAGTTACAAAAAATGTATTTCATCAGGCTCAGCATTTCTCAATATCCTTAAACACTCTCCAAAGCCTTTCTCCTCTACTCAACAATATTTTCTTATTCTCCTCACATAGCTTCATCTCACCATCACAAACTGACCCATCATATCATCAATTACGGATAAATAAACTGTATTATTCCTCTTCTTATATGTACTTTCTGCACCTTCTTGTCAATCAATTAGCATTTTCAAACTAATATTAATGTGCAAAAGAATACTGCCCCATAGTTGCATTATTTTCACTACAGATTCTATTAGTACATGTCCCAAGCTTCCAGGTCATCCAATTAGGCCATTACTGTAAACCAAGAGCAACACTACCACCTTAGAGTGTTATTGCTGCAAACTGCAAAGGCTTCAGCAAATAATTTCTCTTCTACAGCTTGCTTTCCATAAAGCTTCTCTCAATTCAAATAAATAATAGCCAACCCAGGAAAACATTCCAAATTTTACCAAAATCAGAGAACCTATCTAAGATTACATTCACAGCTAAGCGCTTGCATAACCGAGGAAATTTGTGCACTGACTTCGTAAGGTCGTAAGGATAAAATACTAATTCAAAAAGAAAAAAACGAAGGATTTTAAACTTACAAACTATAATCACGTTAGACTTTAATACTAAGATCTGCCAGCACCGTTCATCTAATGTTCATTTCATATTTCATTTCTCCCCTCAAATTTAAAAAAAAAAAAATCAGGAAAAAGAAGACGATTGCTCAAAGCTTCAAAACGCAAAACAAAATCGGAAATCACAACAACCACAGAAAAAAGTGAATCACCTAAAACAGAAAGCACACAAACAACGAAAACGACGAAAAATTCAAAACCGATCCAAAATAAAAAAAATCGAGTCAAAACCGATTCAAAACACAACACGACAGAGACAGAACACACACAGATCACCGCACACGAAACTGAATAGAATTGGATAGCAAAGAGAACAAACATCGAGTAAAAAAAAAAAACTCAACGACGAAGAAAGAGTAAGATCAGCTATTACACGCAGCTTTAAGAGAACAAAGCGGAACTGAAATAACCGAAGCGAAATTCAATTGACGTATACCTGAGATCTCAACGGCGATGATGAGGTCGAGGGAGAGAGGAATAGAGTATGAAAAGAAGGTGAATTATTGGTGTTTCAGAGTATGGTTTTTCTCTCTAACTTTTGAGGCTTTTGAGATTTGCAATTCAGAGAAAAAAAAAAGACGTTGCAGGGAAAGAAGAAAAAAAAAAAAAGGTGCGTCGTGTGTGGATGAATTATGACAACGATGATGATGGAAAAAGGGCGGTGAGATTAACAGAATGGGAAAGAAGAAAATAAATAAATAAATAAATAAAAGAATAAGAGAGAGAGAAAGTGAAGGGTTATTGTTATCGTTGTTGTTATTTGTCAAGACAAAAATTAAGGCCATGGTCCTTTTACAGTGCCACCGTCCATGTTTCTTGCCTTTTTCTCTTTGCTTTTGTGTAAGAAATTAATTAATTTTCTCTCCTTTCATTTCCGTTGCTTCAAACATTTCCTCATTCTGTTGCGCCTTAATTGTTGTATGGATAATCAATCGTGTTCTCTAAATTTAGAGTAGGGTTAAAACATGAGGAAGTTAAATAAGGAAAAAAGGTTAAACAAGAGAAACAAACTGATCCAGGTATAAATAGGATTAGAAATTATTAGTTTTTTGTTTTTTATTTTAGTGATGATTTTTAATAAAACGTTTAGTTGAAATTATATTATTAAGTCTGAATTAATGTGTTGATTGAATGATTTATTCGATTTTTTATTCGTATTAATTTGGCTGTTACAAACTTATAATAAAGAAAAGAGGGAGAGAAAATTGAAAGGGAATTAAAATTACTATGTTTGTGACCTAGAAAGCCTATCCAATTCGCAAATAAAGACATGGAAGTTCTGAAAGGCGTAATGGTCCAACCCTTCAACGATTGGGACTATTGTGGTCTCACTTAAAAATAATAATTATAATATTATTTAATTAAAAATACATGATCAATTTATTCATTTTTATAACGATTCTATTAAAAAATAATAATTTCTAATCAATTAAGCATGTAAAAAAAGAAGAAGAACAAGAAGGGCATAAACCATTCAACCCTTTAAATAATAAAATGAGTCAGTGAATTTCATGAAAGCATGTGATTGTGAAGTGTTTGTGATTTTTGTAATGCATAGAAATCCATATAATGCTATTTTTGGTACTCAAAATATTCTCACGGTCAAAGATTAGGACATAGTTAAATAAATATGAACTAGTTTATTAGCAATATAGATTGGGTCATTTTTAGAAGTGACATGCTTAAAAACTTCTTTTAAGAGAAGAATTTGCTTAGCATTTTATTTAAAAATATAATACATAATTAGTAAAAAAATGGATACAAAAAATAAAATAAAAATTTTAAAAATTAATTATAAACACATAAACAGGACAATATATGAATTTCGATAACAAATTTTTCATTATTTATATGAATTTAAAAACTTCTAATAAAGTATATCAATTTTAGGATATGTGTTGAATACATTTAAGTTTTTCAATAGTATTTTTAGAAAAAATAACATAAAATATAAAAGAAACTTTTTTATATATCCCCAAACTAACTTATATAAGTTAAAAAGCAACAAGTTACACAAGTTCTCAATTCAAATATAAATTTAATTTTGTTTATGAAAAATTTAATAATTATCTTCTTTTATATTTTAAATAGTAGAAGATGAATTAATGTGTTATGTATAGTCAAATAAATAGTCATAAAAAACCACATCTTCAATCAAATGAATGGATAAGAATAACCATCAAGAAAAAAAAAAGGTACAGTTGGCACTGCAAAAATTTAAAATAAATTAGGGTTTTCAAAATATCAGAGAACATGAATAATCAAATGAATATGTCAATTAATGCGTATTTGACCAAAAGATTGATTAATTAATAGCACTGAACCAACCCTAATAATCTCAAATATGTTCATCAATCATCACATAGCATTACTGGTCCAAAGGCATCAAAAGTCTAAAATTAAGAAAATCTGAACAACTTTTACTGTTTGTTAACAACGACATAGATAAACAAGGTTAGAATAAGTTTTTAGCTCTTTCTTCTTTTCTTCAATTTTTGTTTTTAGTTCTTAAATATATTTTTGATTAATTTTTAGTTCTTTAATATATTTAAAGACTAGTTTTTGGTTAAATATGCTTTTTAAGGGTGATAAGGTACACAATATTTTAATAGTACAAAACTACTAATTTAACTTTTTCTAAAATAAAATAAGTATATAATAAAAAATATTTATAATAATATAATCAAATGACAAAATAAATGAAATTTATTAGTAATTTTAATTTGTAAATTTGTTCTAATACTCGTTTAACTTCTTTTTATTTATAGTATATGAGGTTGGATAAATGGATTGATCTCATGAGTTTATTTTTTAAATAATATATATATATATTTAAATTATTTTGTTTAAATGAAAATAAAATAGATTTTAGTTTAAAGTATTATAATTTTTCTATGGAATAAATATTATAATATAAATTGTAAATATTAATAATTTAAATTATTAATTATAATTGGTAATTTAATATATAATATTTTTTAATTTATTTAATGTTTTTTAATACTACATAAAAATATATAAAAAATTAATATATCATTGTTTTCACATAAGAACTAAAATTTATAATCCATTTTAATTAGGATTAGTTTGTCTCAAGATCTAAATTTTATCATTATGAATAAATAATATAATTGACACGTTTTTTAAAAAATTTTCATTAGTAAACTTATATATCATATTTTTCAATTTTATTTAATTTATTAATATAAATGATAAATTATTATCTAATTTTAATTTAAAATCAATTTATATAAAAAAATTATTAAATAAATATATAGTAATATTCTATGCATCTATTAGGAGAAGTTATATTTTCTTCAACACAAACTTAGCAAACCAAGATGATTATTAAAATGAATTATAAATTCTAATATTATATCAATTTTTAACTAAAGTCAATAGAGATTTTACCCACATTTAGGAAAGAATCTCACTCTTAAACTATAATTTATACATTAGTTAGTCAATTTTTTTAATGTCAATTTATATTAAATTAAAATCTTACATAATTTCAAAGCTTATAGTTTTTTTAGTCTTAATTAGAATAAGAATAAGAATAAGCTGGTTTGATTTTATAAAGATGATAATGGATGTTAATCGATTTTAAATCACGCGTGGGTTATGAACTTCAATAACCTGAATAAGATATAGAGATTTACATGTAGCAAGATGAATAGTTAAATACCTTTCTTCCTTATGCCTAAGAAGAAACAAAGAAAATGATTTTATTCTAATGAAAAATTATGAGTGCACCACAATGAATCGACACCAGAAAACTGACAGTACCTGCAAGCTGCAGTTGTACTTTGTTGAAAAAAACTGATTGCATCTTGTTGGTGCCATATGTCAAAAACTATGAGTCTAAGAAAGGAAAGGTTTTGGGGGAATTTGCAGCGAGCTAATGCTTCCTTCCATCATTTCCACCACTTTACTCATTGGGGGTCGATTTGAAGGGTCCGTTTGTATGCACCACAAACTTACAATTGTCATTTTTCTCACCATTTCTTCATCACTTTGATTTTTGGTACATCGAAATTTGAGATCTTGATTTAAGTCAAGGTGGTTGTAAATCCAATCTGGAAAGTATTTTTCACTTGAAAAATCCACTCTGCCATTGTTATTCTCTCTAGCACCAAGCATTTCCAAGACCATCATTCCATAACTGTAGACATCTGATTTATTTGACACTCCACCAAAGTTTCTGCAGAACAATTCAGGAGCAATGTATCCTATGGTTCCCCTTGCCACCATCATTGATACAATACTTTGTTCTCTAGGACATATTTTAGCAAGTCCAAAATCTGATATTTTGGGGCAAAACAACTCATCTAGCAGTATGTTGTGAGGTTTTATGTCAAAATGCAAGATTTTGGTGTTACAACCCTTGTGCAAATACTCCAGTCCTCGAGCAACACCAATGGCAATATTGTACATTGTTCTGCACTTCAATGTGAGTTTAAGCCTTAAAGGATCTTTCTCTTCATATATGAACTTTTCAAGGGATCCATTGGGCATGTACTCATATATGAGAAATCTTTTGGACCCTTCCAAGCAAAATCCCAGTAAACTGACAATGTTAACATGAGAAGTCATGCTAATACTAGCAACTTCGTTGATGAATTCTTCTCCATCACCTTTTGACTTACTCAAAACCTTCACTGCCACACGACTTCCATTTTGTAACCTCCCTTTGTATACACTACCAAACCCTCCTTGGCCTAATTTCTTTTTGAAGGAGTTGGTCATTTTCTTTACCTCCAAGTAGCTGTACCTTTTGGCTGAAAGGTGTCCATGTTGCTTCAGAAAGTTCTCAATCATCAAGTAAGTGGGATTCTTATTTTGAAAATAGTATCTTCTTAAGATGCATGCCAAAACCATCAAAATTCCCAGTGCTCCAGCAGCTGATGTAGCTGTAGTTTTATTACATTAAGTAGTTAAAATGAGAAAAAAAAAAACCCTCCATGATAATTTGTTTATTTTTCATATTGGCTTGTCTGCAGAAGATTGTTTATTTGTTTATTTTTGCTATAGAAGTCACCATACATCTACATCTTTTTTTTTTTCTGTTCAATCACTTAACATTATTCATATGATGAACTTATATTGGAACTGTAACAGCCAGTGAAGAAATTTAACCTGCTTTGATATAGGGTTGAAAAATAATTGACAAAATTTTATTTGTGTTCGAAGTTTAATCAATCACTGCAAAGAAAATGAGGGGTGGCAAAAGTTGTACCTGCTACCACTATCTTCATCTTTCTACTAGTTTTCTCTGCAAAACATGAAAAGGGGGAATTAAACAGAAAGAAATAACAATAAAACCAGAACCAGAAATTAGTGGTAATTTAGATCGGTTAAAAAAAACATTTATTATAATGAAACTTATGTAGGAATCAGTCGAAGTATTAATAAAATTCAGAAGCTAGTTGCAACAAACTTTTTCCATCTATAAACAAGGTACCTTGTACACACAAGAACTTCCCTTGGCTGTCAAGTTGACACTGGCCTCCTCTAAGATGGTAACAAGAAGAACAATCAGGAGACACCTCCGTTTTGACAGGAATATCAGCTGATACATAGTCAAAGAGGCTTCCATTTTCGTTAGGTACAAGTCCTGCATCTCTTATTGGAAGTCTAACCATTGAACACGGTTCAAAATAAGAATAATCAAACTCGCTGGAACCGTAACTGAGGGACTTATCAACAACTATGCCATAGAAGATGTCCTCATTCGGGCATATTGTAGATTTATAAAATGCTGAAGAAGGAGGGGTGACATTGAGGGTGCTGTTGCATGTGAATAGAGTAACAGTCGTGAAGTCAAGTGAAAGGAAAGGGGAAGTGGTGTCCAATTTGGTGTAGTTTTTCGTGAACACCCCACATCTTCTTGTCAGCAAGTAGGTGCGAAGGTCATCATCTCTGAACAAAAGGTTGGTTGTGTTTTCCTCACTTGTGATGTAAAACCACTGTCCTTTGTTCTTAATTGTTTTAACCGCATCTGGGTCACGGTCCTCACAACCATGTACCACCAGCAAGCCACACTGAGGGTGTTTCGTGTCAGTGTAAGGGAACCGTATGGTCCCTAAGTTCCCACAAACGAAGGATGGTGGACACTTTCCCTTTGCAGAGGAGATAAAAAGCAGTACAAGTGTGGATAGGAAGAAGAGAGTTTGAAACGGATCATGATTCTTCATGTCTTCTTTGTTGTGATTATTGCTTTGTTCCTTTGCCAATTGTGACTTGATCAGAATGAAACAACAGAAACTATTGAGAGACATGAGCGTAGAAATTTAATGCATTGTGCTGAGGGAAATAGATGGAACAAAAATGAAACTAGTCTCTAACTTGTGAAACACGATGGTCTTGACTGATGCTATCCTTGTTGACTTTGAACAAGTCTGCGAAGGCTTCTCCACTTCTTGGTTTGGAACAAGTCTTGAGTCAAGATCTTAGTCAGCATGCACACCAATTCTTTATACAGAACACAAATATATTTTCCTACAGATACTAGTCATACTCATGTGAAAGAAAATTATTACAAGCGATGTATTTTACATGCATGTATATCTACAGCACAAACTTAAAATTTATTGTTAAACTCCAACAATTCGTACAAATTGAAAATGTGCCAAATTTAAGAAAGGTTAAATATGATTTGATAATTATGCTGTTCAAAGTTTCTGTCATAATTTTCTGCATTCAAAGTTTATTGTTTTGTATTAAAATTCATTATGGCCCACCATCCTACTTAGAAGTTGAGATTTTTCTTTCATGATATTTTTATCTTCCAAATTATTTAAAATTAATTATTATTTAAATAAATCAATCCTATAAATAATATATTTTAAAAAAATTATTTAAATAGATCTTTTATCAATTTATTTATCTAATTAGATCAATTTTTCTTTTCTATTTTCATAATTTTCTTCTCTTCCCTTGTTTATTTCTAGTCTTTCTCTCTTCCATTTCACATCTCTTATTTCTATCTCATTTCTCACTTATTTCGCTAATTAAACTATTATATTAAAGTTTAATAAAATTATGTTAAAACAAATATTTTAAAATCAATATTAAAACTAAAAAAATATCAACTAATAATTTAAAATATAATGACAATAAATAATTTTCTTTATGATGACATAATAATTATTTAAATTTTTTTATCATAATAAATAATTACTCATCTAATTAAAAAAATTAAAATATTTATTAGTTAGATGCATGTTTTTACTTAGTAATGTAATATAGTTATCAGTAAGTTGACTTATGATAATTAGTTAGATTAGATAATTTTAAAAAAACATTTATTAAAATAAATATTTTATTTTTTCTTAATAATTATAATATAAAAATAATATTTATAATATTTAAAATTTATCATATAATATCTTTTAAATATAATATATTAAATTATAGTATTTTTAAATAATGTATATATTTTTAATTTTAAAAAATAATAGAAGATTCATTTTATTAAATTTTAATCTACTAATTTTAATTAAAGAATAAGATGGAGTGGGAAAAGAATAAAAGAGGGAAAAAGAAAAAAATGAAAATTAAATGAAGATAGAAAAAAATAAAAGAGTCAAATAAGTGTATTATATAAAACAAATATATATATATATATATATATATTTTTTTTGTATAAACTGTAAATATGTTTAGTTGTATAAAAAAATTTAAAAGATTATATTTAAGTAAAATTTTTTAAAATATATTATTTATGAGATTAATTTTATTTGAGATATGAGAAATATTTAAGGATAAAAAGAAAAGTATCATGTCTTTTAAAAAATCTGGAACATAAAGAAAAAAGAAAAAAAACTCAAAAAAGTGACGTGTATATTGAAGTTAAGCTTAGATATGGTTTGGTGGCATCTATATTTTAAAAATGGTTAAATTAATGTTTAATTTAAATTCAACAAATTAGATAAATTTGATTTTTTTTATCAATTTTATAATAATAATTTTTTATTAATATTAAATTTATCTATGAGAAGACTAAAATCATATATAAAATTTTATTTATAAAGTTTGTTAGATAAAAAATTGTTATTAAATGGTAAATTTAAATATAAAAAATAATTAAAATTATATACTTTTAAAACAAAGAAGATAAATTAGAAAAAAATATAAAGAACCCCTTAAGTATAAATAAAACAAAGAAAAATTGACAAAAAAAATGGTTTGAAATGGTGGAAGAGAGATAGGGTATTAATAAAAGAAAAATATTTTATCCCTTTATGTTCATTTGAATTGAAAAAAAAAATTTATTTTTATTCGAACCAAATACATATGTTTGCTGCTGTCCAAACATTTATTATTATTTTTTTCTATTTCACTTTCATCGAATAATTATCTTTTCATTTATTTTCTTTAATATAAAAATAAATCAGTAAGAATATTAGTAAAAGATTTAAAAAAGCATATAATTATTCATTTTCTTACTAACGACCTCGTTTAGTTTAATGCATGTACCTGTTTGCGCTTTGCTCATTGCTCTTTGGGTTTTGTTGGCAGCAAAGCATTATCTTGGATCCCATCAGCTTTGTGCCTACGTAAAGGTTGTTGTTGGTGACCGGTGAGTGTTGCAGAGAACGATGGCAACGTCAACTATGGATGTTCTTGATTTCCAACACACCCCTTTTTATTGGTAATCACCTCTCTCTGTTGGTTTGTAATATTTTGAGACATTCTTTTCTCGTTTTTGTTCTCATCGTGCATGCCTGATGATTCTATAGTGCATATTGGTGATGCGATTAAATAGTCTCTTGTTAGATTTTACAGAAACCAATTTTCCCATATCATTCCTTTTTTTTAATGATGTATATATAGGGTTTTACTTTGGTGTCCATCAACTTTTGGGGATGATTCATGTTTCTTGTCAATTTATTTGTTGCTTCATCCTCTTAACTAGTTTGGGTGATTTCCTTCTGTATATTCTTTTTTCATTTTTTTTAATATTAAATATGGTAATATATTGTAGAATTTTATGATTTTTTTTCGTACATTTATTTGTAGTGAGGAGAATGTATATTTGCTTTGCAAGAAGTTGTGCAGTGATGGAATCGCAAAAGCTGACGGATCTGATCTTTTTGTTGTCTTCATTTCCAATGAAAAGAAACAAGTATGTTCTATTACTTTCTCTGTGGGGTATTGTGCGATGACACTCTAGTTCACGGTGATTCATGGCATAGAATTATTATTGTGAATATTAATTGACACTCTTTGTCTTTGAGTCTCTTTTGATTAATTTTCATTTTTTTTTGTCAAATTTCTTTTCATTTGTTTTTGTCTCTGTCCTAAGACATAATTTCTACCTTGGTTACTCTTTCAAAACAGTGATGGGACAGAATAATTGTGTGATAGAAAAACATGTGAAATTTTAGCTAACATCGCCTGTGTTTATCTCTCATCTAATTTGCTTCTTTCCTAGTTATGTAATGCTGACAATTAGACAGAATTGTAATGACATGTTTAAGTCTTCATGCAAATTTTTTTTGCTACTGCTAGTACATATCTAATTGAAGAGTCGTCCTCCAGTATAACTTGCTACAAAATTACAATCCTTTTTCAATCAATATCTGAAGCATTTGTTTTAACTTTTCTAGATCCCACTATGGAATCAAAAGGCTAGCAAAAGAGCTGATGGGGTGATTCTATGGGATTATCATGTAATTTGCATTCAGGTATTGCCATATGTGTATTTTCTTTCATTAAGTTGTTGGGGGCTTGTTAACTCAGTTTCGAAAGCAGTTTATTTTAGTATCTAAATTTCCTATTACAGGGATCATTTATCATACTTCTGTTGTGATTGGCATTACAGATAAAACAAGGAGATGACCCTCCAGTAGTATGGGACTTGGATTCAACTCTTGCATTTCCTTCACCTCTACCTTCATACGTGTCTGAAACAATACGCCCGACTTTTCAACTTTTTTCTGATTATTACAGGCAAGGAACTTTCTGTTTTATCTACCATTTTGTTCTGTTCTAATGGGTATTTTGGCGCTTTATTGCCTTTTTGCTGATATTTCTAATTTGCAGTTAGTAATGCAAGTCCCAGCTTTTTATGTGTCACAAAATAGTACCTATAGTTCTTTTTAGAAATCAAAGCCTATATAGACTGGGGTTGGTTATAGTGGCCTAATTGGTTTTATCATTATTTATATTTGATATGGTTGAAAGACACAATTATGATCTACATTATACTAGATATTTATTTCTTGTCCTCCTGATATTTCTTTTCCCTGAACGTTTCAAGTATAAATATATTTTGTTAAGGTTCCAACATAAAACCAATTGGCAATATGTGGAGTAGCCTAACATGTATTTAAACCATACCAAATGATATGAGGTAGGCGATGTGGGACTTTCAACACACCCCCTCCAACGAAGCCTGCCGGACCAGGCAAAGGGTACTTTTGACCCAACTAAAGGGCAACTTTTGGCCCATGACAATAACCGGAAAGATGTTAGGCTTTGGCTCTGATACCATGTTGAATATAGAGAAAATATGGTTTGGAATTAATTTCCCTTGTGTATAAATCACACATAGGGTAGTCTATTTATAGTAGAGATATACAACTAAAAGAGTAACTGAAAGTAACAGAATAAACAGAAGATATTGTTTGATATTGTGGTTACCAATATCTAACAATATCTTAACAATATCAAATAATATATAAACAATATCTAACACTCCCCTCAAGCTGGAGCATACAAATCGTATGTGCCAAGCTTGTTACAAATATAATCAATTCTAGGACCCCGTAAAGATTTAGTAAAAATATCTCGCTAACTGATCACTTGAGTTAACAAACTCAGTCTTGATATCTCCGGACATAATCTTTTCTCGAATAAAATGACAGATCAATCTCAATGTGTTTGGTCCTCTCATGAAAGACAGGATTAGAACTAATATGAAGAGCGACTCGATTGTCACACACAAGTGTCATTTGAGTGACATCTCCAAATTGTAACTCTCTAAGCAATTGCTTGAGCCAAACAAGTTCACAGGAAGCCGAGGCCATAGCTCTATATTCTGCTTCGCACCGGATCTTGCCACAACACTTTGTTTCTTACTTTTCCATGAAATCAAGTTACCACCAATGGAGACACAATATCCGGATGTAGATCTTCTATCCGAAGGAGATCCCGCCCAATCGACATCTCGAGTAGCAAACAACTCTTGTATGGTTATTAGAAGCATATAACAATCCTTTTCCAGGAGATCCTTTAATATACTTCAAGATACGAATGACTCGCATTCCAATGATCTTCACATGGTGAATTAAGAAATTGACTTACCACACCGATCGCAAAGGAAATGTCGGGACGAGTAATCGTAAGATAATTCAATTTTCCAACCAATCTTCTATACTCGCTCAGGATCGATATAGGCTCCCCCGATTTGGTAGAAGTTTAGTATTGGGATCCATGGGTGTATCAACATACTTTGAACTCATCAACCCAGCTTCCTCCAAAATATCTATGGCATACTTCCTCCGAGATATAACAATACCATCATTGGACCGTGCTACCTCAATACCCAAGAAATATCTAAGTTTGCCAAGATCTTTGGTCCGAAAATGGTGACAAAGATGTTGTTTCAACCGAGAGATGCCATGGTTGTCACTACCCGTAAGAACAATATCATCAACATATACTATCAAGTAAACACATCCAAGCACTCGAGTGTCGATAAAAGACGGAATGATCCGATTCACACCGAGTCATACCAAATTGTTGAACAACCTTGCTAAACTTTCCAAACCAAGCCCTAGGAGACTGTTTTAGGCCATATAGGGATTTGCGAAGACGACATACCATCCCGTAAGACTCCCCGAGCAACAAACCCAAGAGGTTGCTCCATATATATTTCTTCTTGCAAATCACCATTGAGGAAAGCATTTTTAACATCCAAGTTGATAAAGAGGCCATTGTTGAAGAGCAGACCATGGCGATAAATAAACGAACGAAGCCATCTTTGCCACAGGGGAAAAGGTATCTCCATAATCCAACCCAAAAATTTGAGTATAACCTTTGGCCACAAGACGAGCTTTGAGGCGATCAATAGTACCATCGAGTCCAACTTTGATAGCAAACACCCACCTCGCAACCAACAACAGATTTCCCAGACGGTAACGGGACCAATTCCCAAGTTCCACTATTATGAAGAGCACTTAGTTCATCTAACATGGCCTCGACGCCAACCAGGATGGGCTAAAGCTTCACGTACGCTTTTGGAATGGTCACGGAAGAAATAGAGGAAAGACATGTATAAAAAGGTAATGACAATCGATGATAACTCAAAGCAATATAATGGGGAGAGGGATTACGTGTAGAACGAATACCTTTTCGGAGGGCAATGGGAAGGTCGGACTCATGTGTCGATCCGGAGGAGACAGAGTAGTTGGCACTTGAGTAGAGTCACATGGTGGTGGTTGTGATTGGTTTCGAGAACTATAAATCGAAGAGGCAGTGGAGAAGAAGCTAATCATGGAGCGAGAACTAATGGTGAAGAAGACACAATTAGAGGGTCACAAACAACAGGAACATTAAATGTATTAGGAGTGTTGACAAGATTGGATGGAGACAGAGGTGAAGTTTGACTTTTAAAATAAAGAGACAACTCATCAAAGGTGACATCTTTTGACACAAAATAACGGTTAAGAGAAGGAGAAAAACATTTGTATCCTTTTTGTGATCTTGTAAACCCTAAGAAAACACATTTATGTGATCTAGGAGAAAGCTTGTCCGGACTGTAACTAAAATTATGAACAAAACATGTAGACCCGAAAACTTTCGTGAGGTAAAGGATGAAGTGGTTCATGAGGGAATAAAATGGAATGAGGTATTTTATTATCTAAAACCGAAGAAGGCATGCGATTAATGAGATAACATGCAGTAAGAAGAGCATCACCCCAAAAATGTTGAGGAACATCTCCATGAATTAAAAGTGTGCGAGTTGTTTCAATAAGATGTCTATTTTTACGTTCAGCCTACACCATTTTGTTGAGGTGTATAAGCACAAGAAGTTTGATGCAAAATACCGTGAGAAGCCATGAATTGTTTAAAAGAATGAGAAAGATATTCACGGCCATTATCACTACGCAAAACTCTAATAGAAACACCGAACCGAGTTTGAATTTCATTAAAAAAAGTTTGAAAGATATGAAATAATTCGAACGATTTTTCATCAAAAATAACCAAGTGCATCCGGAATAATCATCAATGAAAGTAACAAAGTATTGAAAACCTAAAGTAGACTTAACGCGGCTAGGTCCCCAAATGTCGAGTGAACCACTGCAAAAGGGGACGAAGCACCACGTGTGAAACTACGAGGAAAGGAAGTACGACTATGCTTGCCTAATCGACATGACTCACACGCCAAACTAGATAAGTTAGACAAGGCGGAGACAAGTTTCGTAACTTGGCAAGACTTGGATGACCTAACCGAGCATGAAGAAGAGAGGGAGACTCCATAACCGTACTAACATGTGTAGAGGGACGGAGATAATAAAGACCATGAGACTCACATCCCGTGCCAATCACTCGTTTCGAACTCCGGTCCCGTAAACACACCGAATTGTTGGTAAAAGTAACAACACAATCAAGAGAACGAGTTAGACGACCGATGGACAACAAAGTTAAAAGGAGACCCAGTGGACATAAAGAACATTATCAATGGTTAAAGAAGGAAAAAGTTTAACCGTTCCAACACCATGAGATGATACTCTAGAGCCATCACCAGATGTAACGTAAGGTAAATGATTAGGAGAGGATAAAGAGGAGAACAAAGATTTGTTACCGAGTAATATGATCAGTGGCTCCCGAATCAAAAACCCAAGGACCAGGAGAAAATGATTGGGTCGACCAAGAAAATATGTATTTGTATGTGTGACAGATATAGTGGAACTAGAAGACCGTTGATCCTTATACCATTCGAGAAATTTGTTGAACATAGCAGTACATGTCGGATGCAACAGAAGAAGGAAGATCCCTACGGATAAAGGTGGGGAAAGATTGGTCCGAACAACTACAGCAGATCGAGGAGGACGACCATGTAATGTATAACACTTGTTAATCTTGTGACCTAGCTTGCCACAATGTTCACACTTAGGACGTCCTTTTTCCCGTTTGCGAGGGCGAGCCCTGGCCATCACGATGGGATGTCAACACAAAAGAATCGTTAACAAAATTGGAAATAGTGGAAGAAGTCATGAAGAGCGGGAGAACAAACCCCGACCGAGACAAGCAAAATCATGTCACCGGTAAAAAAAAATGAAACTCCGGCGAATTCTCCGACAATGGCGGACCCGAGAGCTGCTCCAGCTGGCAGCGGTGACGTGAACGTGAACTAGTACACTAGGTAAGTTCCCGGGAAAGAGAGGTGGGTCACTAATGGACACACTTAAATACCAAGTCTTTCCTTGTCAGAACTTTCCTAAACATGCACTTTCACACTACCAAATAAAATTCAATGACAAAGATAATTCTTTTCTGATGTGGAGGATCAGTTTACCAGCAGCGGTGGGGCGGCTTTAGCAGCGGTGGGGAGGCTCTAGCAGCGGTGGGGCGGCTCCAACAGTGGACAAAAGGCGGAAAAAAAAAAAAATTCAAGAGAACCTTAAGCTCTAGATACCATGTTAAGGTTCCAACATAAAACCAATTGGCAATATGTGGAGTAGCCTAACATGTATTTAAACCATACCAAATGATATGAGGTAGGCGATGTGGGACTTTCAACATATTTAAAATACCTAGTAGCTGTGCTATTATTAATTTTCCTTTTTCTTTTGTTTCTATCAAGATTTTTTCAATCCATATATCAAGTATGTGATAAGGTACTCAGTGCTTTATCCCTAACTGTCATGTTGTGATGTCCATCCGTTTCTTGTTCCTATTATTTGAAGTAATGATTAAAATATGTCATTATAATGAATTAAAGATTTTCAATTAGCTTCCTCATTTAAGCATTTCTTTTAGGGTGTCAGAAATGGTGATTAGTAGTTGGCATCCTTTATATTTTGTGTGAATTTTATTATTTTATTAAAAGAAGAATTTTGATTGAAGAGTGTAGAGAAATACATCTGAAGAGGAGGATAAGAAGTCCTTGAAAATAGAGAAGACCAAATGTTACAAGAAGAAAAACAGGGAGAAAAAATTAAGTGTGCAACAAGTCTTCTTAATTACCCGATGAGTTTGTGATTGGAACAATATTGAAGCTTCCATGAGTTGGACACTACAATCAGATAAAAAGTTACTATGTCCCAGATGAACACTCGTAGCAAGCCCCAGTACATGATGTCCTTTTCAACTACACGTACCAAAGCGCTGCATAAGCTATGCCTTGGACATAATCTTAGACTCCTTGCTTTTACTGAATCCTTTATATCAAACCAATGGCCTTTGTCAAGATCCAACATCTAAATCGGCTGAGACCCAACAAGTAATGATGCCATTTCTTCACAGCTATGACCACCCTTAAAGCTGTCTTTTCCAGGAGCAGAGTTGAAGTTTTGGAAAATTTTCTGTAGTCTAAAATCTCCTGTAATAACTAGTTAGACCTAGGAATCCCCATAACCTCGTGAGATCCATAGACAGTAGGTGTTAACCAATTTGCAATTACTTCTAACTTAGTGTCAGCAGATACCCCATCTGCTGCATTGACATGCCATGCCCCAAATACAATCATCTCTGTTCGATTGCCCAAAACACTGTAATGTTGGTAATCACCACCCATGCTGCTTGATTGCGTCTAAGAGGAATGATGTAAGGCTCTATTACCAGTATTAGGGAACTGGTAAATCAGAATAGGCAATAGAAGAAGAAATAATCTATTATCACAATGTACTTCTCCTTGCAACTGTGGGTTCCAAGGGAAGATGATAAAATAAAATAAGTAAATAATAATCAGGACTTTTGAGAGCTTGATATGTCCCCAGCAACAAATGTATGACTTGCGGAAAAAAAACAACTTGCCCACGTAATTTCTCCTATTTGTAACAGCTTTAACATTTTCAATGCACACACTTCCTAATGAGGCTTCACCTTTCTGTTCCTCATGTTATACACATTCGTAACCAGTCTAACATGCTTATTCTTTGTTGATTAACCGATTTGTAGTGTATATGTCAAATTTTCTTGTATGATATTATTTTTAGACATGTTCAGGATGATACCTTTTTCTTTTTGGTGCAACTAATTGGTTACAAGTCATGTTTAAAGCATTATCTAAGGATGTCAAAACGTTTCATTTCACGTTGTCAAAATTTATTTGTCCTTGTCCATGATATCATGACATGTCTGCTGCATCTTTTTTGTATGAATTTTGCTTTCATTAAGTGTGTTTCCTCAATTTTGTTGATGAAATCATCTATTGATATTCGTTTACGATTTATAGTTGGATATCCAAGTGAAGTATATGAAATGGCTTCTTTGATATCTCAGATTATTCAGAGTTGTGCATGCTCCGATATTTCTTCATAGTTTTGCATCTGATAGAAGACATATGAAAGATTCTGATGAAAAGTGGATTGAAGAACCTCCTCCGTATGAACCTATAGTTGCAGAAGGTGACGACTGGGAAAATTTCTATAAGAAATTGGACTTAATTTGGCTTTGACATAAACAGATCATTTTATATCACATAATAAAGAGGAATATATGCATGCAGAGAGCAACTTTAAATTTTTTTTCTGCGAAAACAAGTGAAGAAAAAAAGCAGTATGCCATTATTTTGTAATTAAAAGGGAAAACACAATAAAAACTGGAAATGTTTTCTCAAACTAAACATGTCTTAGCTGGGACATGTTAATGTGAATTTTGCCAAGTCACTTCAGTTGTCTAATTAAGTGATTAACATGCATGGACGAAATTTTTCTATTAACAAGAAAAGTCAAGCAGTGTAAGCTGTGGAACAATTTTTAACATTGGATAACACTACTATTTGTTAGTTATTTTGTGAAAGAATTCTCTGCTATTAATAGCATTAGCCAGCCATTGTTATACGCTTGATATATTGGATCCATTTCTCAGTTGCTTACTTTTACAGTATCTTCATCCATGCAGATGGAACAGTGCACAACCTGAATGAATATATTAACATATCTATTGCTGATGTTATTACCGATATTACTATCAGTTCAGTCAAAGATATAATTTTCACCCAGAAAAATGGTGTGGTGATAAAGGAAAATCAGCTTGAGGAGTTCATTTGTCCGTTATCTTCTTTAGAATAGCCCCATTCATATTGCTCCCCGGTTTGTATATGTTCAGCTGTCATATTTCTATCCAAGATACTGTTAAATATTGTCATCCTTTTAATGGGTGTTGTAAAAATGCTTCTTTTGAAGGTGTCTTTTTGAGAATGGTGTGCAAGGAATGCAAAGCTCCATTTTGTTTTTCAGGAGCGGAACACATTGTTTACTGTGTAATTCTTCACTCATACTCATGGTTTATAGCTATATACGCGAGGTGTTATTTTAGAACTGGTTTGGAGAATGTTTTGTGATCTGAACTGTTCGGAAGAACATTCAAGTGTGAAAAGACTATTGTTCTTATTGAATTTTACTGAGGAAATAAATCTTACTCTTTATATATAATTTTTAACGCAAGCAATAGTTTGTTTAGTGGGTGATATAAGTAACAAGCTATTACATTCTCTCAAGTCTACATATAAACGTAAAATAGTTATAGCACAGTGAATTGATTGATTGGAATCAATTATGGAAGCATGGAATTAATTCCTTTTATTTCAAGCAACATAATCTTGAGTATGTTGTGTATGTATTTTTCATATATAATAAGACTTGAACTAATTTTTTCATTTGAAAATAGCATAATTGTAAGATTTTAACTTTTTAGATTTCAATTTAGCTAACCGAGTTTCATGTCTTGTAAATATACTATTTTAATCTCTCATGTTTCAATTTAGATGATTAGAAATATTAAATGGATATAATTTGTGATATTTAAAAGATCTATTTAGCACAAATAAAACACAATGAACTAAATGGCACATCAGTAACAAAATTAAAATTTGAATAACTATAATCACACCTTTTCATTACATTACCTGAAAAATAAAAGCCCAATTAAGCATAAATAGTCACCCTTTCTCCTAACTTTCTGGAGAATCCTGCCACATGCACTTAGGTACATATTGGAGGCTTGCCTTGCCTCTAATTTTTCTCATTTTCAAATTTACAAAATGAAATAAAATATGAGAAAGACAATTGCATAAGTTTAGTATACTAAGTAGCAATAAATTCTTTTAAATTTAGCACTCTTACATCAATTATATTTCGTGTATGACTTTTAAGTAACTTCCATAAAAATCAATAAATTTATTATATACTGGCAGCTTTTGATTGGATCATAAATTATGGGTATATAAACTATTAATTTCTTTGATTATAGAAAAATGTGTAAGGGTGAAGGCATTACTATTACTCAAACCTGAACCAGTTATTTATTTAAACAAAGTTAAATTTGCAATCTTCAGCTACAGGGGAGAAAAGGACAAGAACAAGAAATAGAAGACACCATATATTCATGGTAACCTGTGGTAACAAAATTGGAAGCGTAAGACTACGTACGAAACTTGTTCCCATTTGGCATCCCGGACAAACTATCAAACTCTAGTTTTCAACGAGAGAGACACAAACTCAGAAAGCAAGGATCTTTGTGTAAGCAAAAAGGCCTTAAATTCTCACTTGCACTTTCTCTCTCATCATCATCACTCAGGATCCATGGCCCCCTCTTAATCCACTTTATGAAATCCAATTCCACCAATCACAGTTCAAGAAACTCCATCTAATAAGCTAATGATAGATATAGCAGTAGAGAAAGAGTGTGTGACACGCACGCACACACACTCACTCACTGTGACACTAAACCTCAAAAAACAACCATGGACTCAAAATGACTTATAATGTGCCACGTGGTTCTTACTCTCACCACTAACTGAATAAACCGTTGCTAGTCGCGGGCTCCCTCTTCTTTCTCTTACCTTCCACACAAACCAAATAAAAACCCATAGCCATTCATCTTTCAAAGAAGAAAAGGAAAGACGAGGAAGAAGAAAAGACACTTTGAACTGAGCTTTGATCACAAAAGGCACAACTTTTGGCTTAAGAAAAAGTGTACTGATTCCTCTCATAGTCCCCATTTCATTCTTTTAACCAAATTGCTCTTTCCTCTTCACTTTCCCTGGTGATTAATTTCGAAACAGAAGTTTCTTTTCTTTTTCTTTTTCCTTTTCCTTTTTTTGCCTAATTTGGGTTCGTAGATTATCAATGGCTTCTTTAGTGTCTTCTCCATTTACCTTAACCAGTTCTAAGGTTGAGCAAATTTCTCCTCTTTCCCAAAAACACCTTTTTCTTCATTCGTTCCTTCCCAAGAAGGCCAATTGCTATGGCAGCAACTCAAAGGTTTCTCTGAGAGTGAAATGTGCTGCGATTGGCAACGGTCTTTTCACTCAAACCACCCCAGAAGTGCGTAGGATAGTTCCTGAGAAGAACCAAAACCTGCCAACAGTTAAAATCGTGTATGTTGTGCTTGAAGCACAATACCAATCATCTCTCTCTGCTGCCGTTAGAGCTCTCAACAGCAACAACAAAGGTGCTGCCTTTGAAGTTGTGGGGTACTTGGTGGAGGAGCTTCGAGATGAATCCACTTACAGGACCTTCTGCAAGGACTTGGAAGATGCTAACATTTTCATTGGGTCACTGATTTTTGTGGAGGAGCTTGCCCTCAAGGTTAAGGCTGCTGTGGAGAAAGAAAGGGACAGGCTTGATGCAGTTTTGGTTTTCCCATCAATGCCTGAGGTAATGAGGCTAAACAAACTGGGGTCTTTCAGTATGTCTCAGCTTGGACAATCCAAGAGCCCCTTTTTCCAGCTCTTCAAGAAGAAGAAGCAGTCTTCTGCTGGGTTTGCTGACAGCATGTTGAAGTTGGTGAGGACTTTGCCAAAGGTGTTGAAGTACTTGCCAAGTGATAAGGCTCAGGATGCCAGGCTGTACATTCTGAGTCTGCAGTTTTGGCTTGGTGGATCACCTGACAATTTGCAAAACTTTCTCAAGATGATTTCGGGGTCTTATGTTCCGGGGTTGAAAGGGACAAAGATGGAGTACTCGGAGCCGGTTTTGTACTTGGACAATGGAATTTGGCACCCTCTAGCTCCTTGTATGTATGATGACGTGAAGGAGTATTTGAATTGGTACGGAACTAGAAGGGATGCAAATGAGATGCTGAAGAGTCCAAATGCGCCTGTAATTGGTTTGATTTTGCAGAGGAGTCACATTGTGACTGGGGATGATGGTCACTATGTGGCTGTGATCATGGAGCTTGAGGCCAAAGGTGCTAAGGTTATTCCAATTTTCGCCGGTGGGCTTGACTTTTCGGGGCCAGTGGAGAGGTTCTTGATTGATCCAATAACTAAGAAAACGTTTGTGAATTCTGTGGTGTCACTCACTGGCTTCGCGCTTGTTGGGGGCCCTGCAAGGCAGGATCATCCAAGGGCAATTGAAGCTTTGATGAAGCTAGATGTTCCTTACATAGTTGCATTACCATTGGTGTTCCAGACAACAGAAGAATGGCTGAACAGTACTCTGGGCTTGCATCCAATTCAGGTTGCTCTTCAAGTTGCACTGCCAGAGCTAGATGGGGGCATGGAGCCTATAGTTTTTGCTGGTCGAGATCCTAAAACAGGTACCAAGAGTAAAGATTTTTTATTTGAAACTATTAAATTAACATGTTTTGGTTTTGTCCTTGCTCGTGCTTTAAGAAACATGTTTATCCCTCACGTTTGCAATTTTGCTTGACAAGATTCACACTGTTTGTTGTTTACTTGATATATGTTTTCAGGAAAATCTCATGCTCTTCACAAGAGAGTGGAGCAGCTCTGCACCAGGGCAATAAAATGGTCTGAATTGAAAAGGAAAACGAAGGTATTTGGCCATTCTGAGTCATAAAATTCAAATTTGTAGTTAGAGTGAAATTTTAACTGAGCCTGCAAGATTCTGTGTGAGATCTAACTGACAACTATCTCGTTCACAACCTTTCATCAACGGAAGAAAAATGAGGCCTAGATGATATTTGAGAATAAAAATGATTTTTAATTTGACCTAAATGAATGAGTATCTTGTAGCAAACTAATTTGTATCATCTCATTTGTAACGAGAGAAATCTGAAAAGGAGACCCATAGAGAAAGGATTTACTGTAAATGAAAGGACATTTCTGTTGTACAACTTAAATTATTAAATCTCCTTCTTCCCTTTTTTGTCAATGGAACTTCAGCTATTTTCCCCAATATACGTGTTTGGTTACCATCTAAAATCAATTTTACATGTCACAGGACATGTTTTAGTATGATTGCGATTAATTTGGACACATCCTAATCACATTCAACGGACAAAATCAATAGTAGAAGGAATTAGCGAAAGATTTTCTTGTTGACATCTTATATTGTGGACCAATATTCATGTTCATTTCATTGTTACCCTTTTGTTCATTCTAATAGGAAAGTATTTGAGCCCCATCTTTCATGTATAATCATCTTTTTGACCAGTCTCTAAAATTAATCTATTCTTATTTTTCTCCATTTCTCATTTTGTAGTGTCATCAGCTTGTAAGCATTTTCAGAATTGTAAATCAAACTTAAGTTCATTTTCCTGTTGAATTTTCAGCATATTCTCATTTGAATTCTTGGAGATGTTTGACTTTGATTGTTAAAATTTTCTTGATAATTTTTTTTACTCCTATAGGAAGAGAAGAAACTGGCAATCACTGTCTTCAGTTTCCCACCAGACAAAGGCAATGTAGGAACTGCAGCCTACCTTAACGTATTCTCCTCCATTTTCTCTGTTCTAAAAGATCTTCAAAGAGATGGATACAATGTTGAGGGACTTCCAGAATCTTCAGAAGCTTTGATTGAAGAAGTAATACATGACAAAGAAGCACAATTTAGCAGCCCAAATCTGAACGTTGCATACAAAATGAGTGTCCGAGAATACCAAAATCTAACTCCCTATGCCACAGCATTAGAAGAAAACTGGGGAAAAGCTCCAGGGAATCTGAATTCAGATGGAGAGAATCTATTGGTATATGGGAAGCAATATGGTAATATATTCATAGGTGTTCAACCCACATTTGGCTATGAAGGTGATCCTATGCGGTTGCTTTTCTCCAAATCTGCAAGTCCTCATCATGGATTTGCAGCATATTACTCTTTTGTTGAGAAAATTTTCAAAGCTGATGCTGTTCTTCATTTTGGGACACATGGTTCCCTAGAATTCATGCCTGGAAAGCAGGTGGGAATGAGTGATGTATGTTATCCCGACAGTCTGATTGGGAACATTCCCAATGTCTATTATTATGCTGCAAACAACCCTTCCGAGGCTACCATCGCCAAACGTAGGAGCTATGCAAATACCATTAGCTATCTGACTCCTCCAGCAGAAAATGCAGGACTCTACAAAGGTCTTAAGCAATTAAGTGAGCTCATCTCCTCATACCAATCCCTCAAGGACACTGGCCGCGGACCACAAATTGTTAGCTCAATCATAAGCACAGCTAAACAATGTAATCTTGACAAGGATGTGGAACTGCCAGATGAGAGTGAAGACATCCCTGCCAAAGACCGCGACCTTGTGGTTGGAAAGGTGTATGCCAAGATAATGGAGATCGAGTCCCGCCTGTTGCCTTGTGGGCTGCATGTCATTGGTGAGCCACCCTCAGCCTTGGAAGCAGTTGCAACACTAGTGAACATAGCAGCACTTGATCGTCCTGAAGATGGTATTTCCTCTCTCCCATCAATACTAGCTGCGACTGTAGCAAGGAACATGGAGGAAGTCTATAGAGGGAGTGACAAAGGAATACTAAAGGATGTAGAGCTTCTTCGGCAGATAACTGAAGCTTCACGTGGAGCAATCACTTCCTTTGTGGAGCGGACTACTAATGATAAGGGTCAAGTGGTTGATGTAGCTGATAAACTCACCTCAATTCTTGGATTTGGCATAAATGAACCGTGGGTGGATTACTTGTCAAACACCAAATTTTACCGAGCTGATAGGGAAAAACTCAGAACCTTGTTCATGTTCTTGGGAGAATGTTTGAAGTTGGTTGTAACTGATAATGAATTGGGAAGTTTGAAACAAGCCTTGGAGGGTAAATATGTAGAGCCAGGACCTGGTGGTGATCCAATTAGAAATCCTAAAGTTTTACCAACAGGGAAAAATATTCATGCACTGGACCCACAAGCTATTCCTACTACAGCAGCAATGCAAAGTGCCAAAGTAGTGGTGGATAGATTGATTGAGAGGCAGAAAGCAGAAAATGGAGGAGATTATCCTGAGACCATTGCACTTGTATTGTGGGGAACAGATAATATTAAGACATATGGAGAGTCCCTGGCTCAGGTCTTGTGGATGATCGGTGTGACACCAGTAGCTGATACATTTGGAAGGGTCAATCGGGTGGAACCTGTAAGTCTTGAAGAGCTTGGAAGGCCAAGGATTGATGTTGTTGTTAATTGTTCAGGAGTATTCAGGGACCTTTTCATCAATCAGGTATCACTTCTCTACCTACTTATCCAGAAATGGAGCCCAGGACCAATTTAGTTTTCATTGTGTTGCATCATTGATTGAAGCATTATTCTGCTATTGTTTAAAAAGGTTACACAAACTCTTGATATTTAAACATGAAATAGCAATGGTTTAGGCGATACTTAACCTTTTCCTCTATATCAAAATAACTAATATATTGTTTTACATCATTCGATTGATTCATGAGCTACAATAACAATGTTCAGGTTACATTTTGAGCAAAACATCTCTTTTGCCTAATTTTACAAGGATTTTCCCATTTATTTGCTCATGTTTTATATTTTTTTTTTTTTTTTCCTTCAGATGAATCTTCTGGATAGAGCAGTGAAGATGGTTGCTGAATTGGATGAACCAGCAGAGCAAAACTTTGTCAGGAAGCATGCACTAGAACAAGCTCAAACCCTTGGGATCGACATTAGAGAAGCAGCAACAAGGATCTTCTCCAATGCCTCAGGGTCCTACTCCTCAAACATAAACCTGGCAGTGGAGAATTCTTCATGGAATGATGAGAAGCAGCTCCAGGACATGTACCTTAGCCGAAAGTCTTTCGCTTTTGATTGTGATGCGCCTGGTGCAGGCATGACCGAAAAAAGAAAGGTCTTTGAGATGGCTCTGAGCACAGCAGATGCCACATTCCAAAACCTTGATTCATCAGAAATCTCCCTCACTGACGTCAGTCATTACTTTGACTCAGATCCAACAAACCTGGTTCAAAATCTAAGGAAAGATGGGAAGAAGCCAAGTGCATACATTGCTGACACTACCACTGCTAATGCTCAGGTGAAAATTGTTACATAATTATCCATCCAATTTCCATGCTTCCATTTTTCCATTGTTGAATCATCACCTTCAAATCACATTGATTTTATTTTTTACATAATAGCCTGTTTGGATAAACTTTTCCAAAAGAACTTCTAGGGAGAGAAAACAATAAGAAAAAAATAGCTTCTCCGTAAGATAAAAAGTAAAATTATAGAAGTTATATAAGAAAACTTCTACAATAAGCTAGATGTATAAGTTAATTTCATCGTATGGATTAGTTGGTTTTATTTTTTCTTTTCATTTTTCTTCAGTAGAAGTCTTCATAAAGAAGTTTGTCTGTCCATGGTTTCCATTTGACCTTTTGGGGGCCTTTCTTTCCAGGTGCGTACCCTCGCCGAGACGGTTCGACTAGATGCAAGAACCAAGCTATTGAATCCCAAGTGGTATGAAGGCATGTTGTCTAGTGGATATGAGGGTGTTCGTGAAATTGAGAAGAGGCTCACTAACACAGTTGGATGGAGTGCAACTTCAGGCCAAGTTGACAACTGGGTGTATGAAGAAGCCAACACAACCTTCATTCAAGATGAGGAAATGCTGAAGAAGCTCATGAGCACAAATCCAAACTCCTTTAGGAAGCTGGTGCAGACATTCTTGGAAGCCAATGGACGAGGTTACTGGGAAACTTCAGAAGAAAACATTGAGAAGCTCAGGCAGTTGTACTCAGAAGTTGAAGACAAAATTGAAGGCATTGATCGCTGAAGTCATGATTGAGATGAATGCAGAGACATTTGCTGTTGATTTAACCATGCCTTCTTTGTCCCTGGAGCTTCTTTCCCACACTGAATTGAAAGTTGTGGCCAGTGGTTTTCTTTTTATGTGATTTTGTTCCTCTCTTCTTTTTCCCTGCTGTAGTTTAAATCATTTTCAGGGATCATGCTCCTTTGTGCAGTTGCAAATATAGCTTTCAATTTAAAATATAGGGAATGATTCCCATGTATGGATTCCTCATGTTATAATAAAATTGTGTAAAACTGAGATTGATAATAAATATAAACTCATTGAACAGACACAACTACAGAAGAAGTCAAATACTCTTTTTGGTAAATGACGGAAAAACACAACAAAGAAAGTCAAGTAATCCTTCTAATACAAGACTTCTAAAAGAAATACTCAGACCAATAACAATAGTTAAGTTTGTTAATTTTATTAATTTTTCAAAGAAAAAATTGTGAATGTGGCAATTTTATTTATTCTCATTATTTATCATTAACGTATTGTGGGAGATGTGAATGATTAATTTTGAGTTCTAAGCAAAGCCATGAATGATAAATGACACAAAACTTGAGAGTTGGAAAGGTGTGAGACAACATTTCATAGAGAAGAATATGTGACCTTTTTTTTCTTCTACTAATTAAAAAATAATTATAAAACATGTATATAATCAAAGTCTTTAATAAGAAGAAAAAAAGAAAAGTTGAATGTTTCGTAAGAATTGCAAAACATCTTATTAAGAAAAAATCTATCCAGTATGGATGTTTTTGTGACTTCATAGTATAACTAGCTTATAACAATAAGGTGGCTGAAGTTGAATATGTGTACTAAGCCTTTTTTTCAGAGTTCTGATCTAGATGTAGTATTTTAATCCTTCTCTTTGCATAGACATGCAAATTCCCAGAAAGCACTGTATATCAGACGCTTCAAGTCGATAACAAAAAAGAATCTCTTAATGGAGAGCTTGAATTGCAATATTGAATACAAATACATTTTCATTTCATTTTTCACAAAAATAGATGGGAAAAAAATAAGGAATGATACATTTTTCTGTGGAACAAATCTACACAATGAAGGGGAGAGGGGAAAAGAGAAGGGTTAAAAACCCACCCAAGAAACAAAAAGATTGTAACACTGTTTTAGATTAAAAAGAGACTGTAATTGTGCTATCTAAGTGTTACATGTTTCTTGCCTCCTCTCTGGTCATGTGGTATCAAGAAGAAATAGTTCTAATTTCAAACTAACTCCATCAGGAGTGGATCCCCTTCTGCCATTATTCTGATAAGCTTTATAAAGTCTTGCTCACTTGTTATGCTCCATGGATGAACAGCAGGAACTTTGGCCGAATAAAGAGTGGAGGAATTAGCAGTAGGATTTTGCTTGTAGATCATTGTATCAAGTACAGGGTCAAAATTCTGAGGAGAATCTAGGGAGACAAAGAACATAGGAATTGCAACCTTCTGATGGATTTCTAGATTGCCCACAAGGCTAACTAGCTCGACAAAATCACTGACAAGGCGCTGAGGAACATAAAACACCTCAGAACTGCATAATAGGAGGTTCTTCTCATTGTCACTTGTTTCCTTGTAACTGACTTGAAAGTGAGCTGGCATCGTGCTGACAACCTTCTGTACCATGCTTGCTTGTTGTGATAACCAATCTGCACTGTCACCGTTGGTTATTACAGAAGACCAAGACTCCGACACCTGAATCCCAGTTAAATTTGTAAATGGTCAGAGAGAAAAGTGCTATGCCAACCTTTTTAAATGTTAAAGCTATGCTTAAAAGTAATATCAGGACGATTTGGAGAAATAGCATAAACAAAAGACATTAAAACATGCATTTAATTTTGATCAAGTTAATGGCATCAAATACTGTCTCGATAACATCATCCTGAATGAATTTGAATATAATATCACAATCGGTATGGTTGGATACTAATGCCGAAGAGATGAAAAACTTCACGCTAACAATAAATTAAAGAGTAAATCATCGTTATAGTCCTTATAATTGTCAAGTGTTAGTCATTTTAGTCTTTGACTATACAAATTCCTCCCTTTCTAGTACTTGACTTAATAAAAAGTCAACCATTTACTTCTTTTCCACTAAACTAAGCAGGACTGAAGTAAATGATGCCTGAGAAAGTCAATAACTTAGGGCCTGTTTGAGTAAATGTTTCCATAAATACTTCTAATTGATGGGAATAAGAAGAAAAAAAGTGAATAAACTTCCCCATAAGCTAAAACTAATTTACAGGTAAGTTAAAAATAGTAAAAAAATTCTAAATTTTGAGAAGCTTATATAATAGAGCTTTTACATAAGTTAATTTTATCTTATGGACAAGGTTATTTTTTTTCTTCCTCTTTTCTTTTCCTATAAGTGTTTATCGAAAAGTTCCTGGAAACAGACCATTGCTTACTATCTAACAGATTAGAATGAGGTTTACTACTCTAGATTAAAACTACTCTCTTAGAATATTTGTACATGCATTCATAAGAGGGCCAATAAGCCTTATAATATCAATTTTGGGAGAATTTTGTATCGGCTATCATGCAAAAATAAGAGTCCACACTTGGGGTGAAAGGAAACAAAATAACAATACCTTATTAGTGATCCACAGTTTAGTTTTATCTGCTTGTAGTAAGTTCCAGTAATTAAGAATGGTATTATCCTGTACGAACAAAAACCCCTCTGCACTGCTAAATTGATCAAAAATTTTGGGCAGGTACCTGAAATCAGGAGAGGATAAAATTATATCAAGAAGAAAAAAGCAATCACAGATTCACAACTACAGCTTTGAGGCTACATATCAGGTCAGTGCACTTGTTTTTATGTTATTAAAGATGAGAATCACAAAGAATAATTCAAATTATTATTCTTCATTCCATCCTTCCCCAACCAGTCTCCACCAGGAGTCTACCACCTCATATTTAACAAATACATAATGTTTGGTTGGAGGAGAGGGGAGCAAAGGGTTTTCAATAAAAATCTTTGGATCAGAAGTTAAGAGGAAGAAAGGAAAATAGGGGAACTGAAATCCCTTCACTCCAACTTTAGCTTCCCTCCCATGTTAGGCAGATTTTAATTTCCCTACCTTCCCCTGCTTTGAACCAAACATTCCAATATTTAACAGTCAATCTCTTTTTCAAATTCTCATATGATTAACATAACAAAGTTTAAAGAGATAGAAACAAATGCTTCACCGTATAGAGCAAGTAATATTTCTAACTTTCCTCTTCCAAAAATTCCATTGCTACATAAGCTATAAAACATCTCTCACACTAATACTAACATGCTTACAGTGAAGGCAAGTTCTATTGCCTCTGCTGTGATATCCAAGTATAATTCACATTTCACAACAGCTGAACCCATAAGCAATTTATCTGTATATTACTTCACCAAACAGCCAATGGCCCAAAGCAATTACTTGAGATGATTTCATGTTCTTTTAATAAACTTCAGTCTATTATTGCCTCTCAATCCTTAGTCTTACTCATAATAGAGAACCATCTCAGATACAGAATCTATTTGGACAAAATTACTAGAAACCAATCATAAGTGGCATAGTAAAAAAGTAACATTCATATATAATTTAACAATAGAGGGAAATGTAAAATATAACCAGACTTACCTGTATGCATAGTCCAAATGACCCTCCTCTACAACAAGATCTACATCCTTCTTTTCCGACAAAATAACTACAGATCTGAATATCCTTCCATAAAGCAACCTCCATTCAAGGGCTGTTCGTTCCACCGGCCCATTGCAATGCATTATAAGCACAACATTACCAAAAGTTTTCCTCCACCGGATCAAATTGGCGATCTCATAATTCACCGTACCCGTTTCTTCAACACCAAGATGCACTGATGGCAATTTTTGTGGTACAAACTCTTTTCGATCACCATGACCAATATTTGGCCTTGGCCGTCCCAACTCCAAAGACATCAACCTGGGCTGCTGATAGCCAACAGCCAACAAATCCTGCAGCCAAGCAGCAGTAAGCTTCACATCCTTCTCAGTCCAAAATCCCTCCTCTGCCATTGCAAAACTCAAATCCAAAATCTTCTCAAACAACCTATGCTTATCAGACCGCCACAAAACCAAATAATTAATCAACCTTCCAACATTCACATGAAGATCCTTCTCCTCTGAAAACGGATACGCCTCAATCCTGTCATACCTATGGACCGTAGGTGGATAAACCGCAACATACCCACCAACCTCCCAAAGCAGCCTCTGCCCCCAGTAACCTCTCAACACATCAGAAGCCATCGTGCTGACCGACACCGGGAGCATCAAGGCCCAAAACGCAGGTGAATGGTACATCGTGTTAAAAGAATTAACCGGCACCATCACACCCTGAGGCAGCGCCACCTTCGGCGCATGCTCATCGAACCTCACATCAAACGCCTCCAAAGTCGACTTCCGGGTGAAGTAAAACACTGAATCGACATCCGGCAGACCATTCGAAATGCCCTGCTGAATGAACTGCTTCCCTCCAAAAACCTGAGTGTAAAACTCCTCATGCCCAATCTCCCCTACATTCTCCAAAGGCAACCCTCTAGGCCAAACCGAACGCTGCCCAAAATGCACATAAGGGTTCACAACGGTTCGATTCGGGTTATCATGACTGTACTGCAACAAAACCTCTTGCCTAGCACCTTCCCCTACTAACTCCACATCAAAATGCTTACCCAAATCATCGTCTATCACCTCCCCTCTATCATCAGCGTCGAAAATCTTCTTAGCACCGTGCTGAATCGCAAACAAATACCCCACACTCTTTCTAACATACGAATCATAAGGAAGGTAATCCACAACCCTAAACCCCAAATTAGCCTGTTCCTCCAGGGACAAAAAGATCGCACCTTTAAGGCTCCAATCTGACGGCGTTTTGGACCCACCAACCGCCACCACCTGCCACCCCTTCAGCTTCACCAGCCGCCGAAGCGAGTCGCTCGGGTACCCCAACACTGAGACCACGATCCACTTCTCCGTCCGGAAGTTCGCGAACTTCGAAGTCTTGTCCGCGATCGGCGCGATCGCGTTCCAGTCCACGCGCGGGTACACGATCCGCTCGAGCTCCTGCGCCTGCTTCTCGAAGCAGAGCAGCGCGGCGGTGTCCCCAACGTTGCGGAGGAAGAACAAGGCGGCGACGGTCACGACGAGGAGCACCACCGCCACGATCCTGACGAGGTTGTCGGAGACCCACGCGGAGAAATCGAGGCTCTTCGTGGCGGCCAGCGCCGCCGTCCGGGTGTGGGGCTTCGGATTCACTGATTTTGGAAGTGCACGCTCTTGAACCATCATTGAGTATCGCGTGTTGAATTCAATTGAACCCTCCACCCAATGTGCGTTCTGATTGACTTGAGCTGAAGCAAATTCAACTCTTTCTTTTCCCTCTAAACCCAAACATAGAACGTAGGCAATTTTTTTTTTTTTTTTGGGTTTTGGATTTCTGCAACAGTTTTGGGGGTGAAGTTTTGTTTAAAGATTGTGGTTGCCGACAGGGGCATGTGTGTGTCGGTTCCTTAAGCTTGAATGCAACTGCAAGTAGTTTGGTGGAGTGGAATCTTCCTCTGGTTCAGTAGTAACATCTTCTTTTTATTTTATTTATTTTTAATCTTTTTTTATGTGGTTGGGTGCTGGAAAATGGACTCATTAGGTAATACTTCACGTTCCATTATTAATTGGATTTGGAACTTGTTACTATAATGCTTTGATTTATGAGCTGCCATGTCAATACCTTTTCTAGATAATATCAATACATTTTCTCTATTATAATTTCTAATAGTTAAAAATCTCTTTATATTTTTACAATTTTCTGTAACTACAAAAACTATATTGGTATCTTAAAGAATATCTTTTAATTGACCCTTCAAATAGATTTTATTAGCTTGAAAAATATTTTGTGTTGAAGCAAAAAATGAAAAATGTCTTGTTACCATTTATCTTGATTTATCGGGGACAGAAGGAACTTGGGGGGTTTGTTTGGCTAGTGTTATTAAACCACTACTACTTTATTTCCAAAGTAGAGGTGACTTGGGAAGACAGTTAATATGAGTGTGGTGGCCACTTTTTTGGGGGTTTGATGGGTTTCTTTAGAAAGTGTGCGGAGCCTAGTTAACCAGTCTATTTCCATCTAATCAATGCCTTGCCATGTGAAGAGTAACAAGTTTCCAAAGGAAAAACCTTTCATCTTGGATGTTTAGTTTGGAGAAGACTCAAACACTATCAAAACATTCCATTAGATATTTACTTTTTAATATTTTTCTATGTTTATTTAAAGTACAATAATTATATATATATATATATATATATATATATATATATATATATAATAACAATTTGAGACAAATGAAATGTACGTAAAATGGATATTAGTTGTAGCCCTATATGTTAGCATATATTTTTCCTAGTTTTTTCTAATTGGATAATTATTTTGTGAGTGTGAACCATGATTTAATGATAAGACAGTGATAAAGTGTGTTAATAGCATTTTTTTAATAATATATCAAAAATGCAATGTAAGCAACAGACCATGTGGATTTTGATTTTATACTGGGCTAATTTTGGATAAAGCCCGTTACAGATTTGGAAGATTGGGCCTACATATGCCCAGTGCAAGTAGCCTGCTTATTTTAAGAGACCCTGTCTATAATCTTCTATTTGTTTAAGAATAAAACTATGATTTAAACTGAAAAAAAAAATGACAAGAGAAAGTTTAATAATTTATATTTAAAATAAATAATTTATTCACTTTTTTATTTTATTTTCAAGCAACAAAAAAACTAATAAATATTAAATTAACTAATAAAATTAAATATGGCCAATTTAATAGTCATATATTATATTTATCAAGCTATTAATAATTGTTTTTATGTTTTCACTTATGCGAAATAAATTTCCTAAGCTTGTCTTAAAAAGGCTAATAATAATAATAAAAATAAAAATAAAAAGCAAAACAATTAGGACACACGCGGCACACGCTGAGGAAGAGAGAGAAAATTTTGAAAACATTTCAATATACCCGCGAAATTTCAAAAACTGAGAGAGAAAAGAGCGAAGGCAACAATGTCTTCGTTTCCGAGTTCCGCAGAACGAACGGTTGCATCGTCTCTGCTTCTTCTCAACAACACACCTCCCTCTCCCTCGCTTTCTACTCCAAAGTAACCGCAATTTTCTCAATTCACGTTATTCTTAAGTTTCTTCGTTTCGATCTTCACTCTGTTTTCACAAATTTCTCGCTCTGAAGGTTTCGCTCTGATTCAAGCGATGCGGTTCCAGAGAGAAGAAGCAGCAGTAGCAAGAGTTTCAGGGAAATCTCTGTTTCTTACGTTTCTAATAAATCCTCATCTTCCTCGCTCACCAACGACGATGGTGATTCCTCGGAGAAAGAGATCAAATCGCGTACCGTATCGTACTCTGCTTTCGCGCGTTACAGTCAGATGAAGCTTAAGGTCGATTCTATATTTCTGCGTACCTTGTAGTTTAGCGTTTGTTTCGCTTCGTTTCTGTTGGTGTCGGGAAGCTGAACGAAAACAAGCAATTGTGTATGATCTGAAAATTCACTGCACTTATTCTTCTAATAAGATTATGCATGATTGTTGTTGATTCTGGCGATTTTCTGCTCTGCTCTGTTGGATTTGATCATGTTCAATTAAGTTTTAGGGAGGTCGGTGTTAGAGGATTAGAGATTTAAACATTTTATTGATAATTGCGATTTATGTTACAAATTTGTTGACTGTTTTATAAACTTAGGATTTTCGTTTTGTAAAAGATTGCGAGGAAGATAAGGTCGAAGGTCACGTGGACATCGTCGTGCCCCGGCGACCGGGAACCTAACGCTGGAGAGGCGGCAAAGATGCTCTCTCCTATTTCGGGCTCTGGCGAGGCCTCGTCCTGTATGTCGAGCAGCTCGAGCGGCATCTCCAGCGCGCGAAGCTTGCGCTACGCTAAAAGATGCAGAGGCACGACTGTTGAGCGTGTGGCCGGGATCGGACGCGAGACGGCGGCGCCGTCGCGTTGCGTTGCCGGATCGCCGCACCTGAGACGGCGCGGCGAAGCCATAATGAAGTTGCTCTCTTGCGGTGGCTCATCTGAAGTGAAGATCCGTCAAATGCTCGGTGACAGCCCCGACACTAGCAAAGCTCTACGAATGTAATTTTTCTCTCTCACACACGGGTAGATTGTACCATGCAAGATAAACGTTTACGTGATTTACATCTAATACGTTTTAGTTTGTTTAATTTCAGCGGAATGAGGAGAGAATTTGTTTTTTAACTAACTGAATTCAAAATTTCAATCACTAACCGGTTGATTTTGTTATATTGCAGAACCCCGAACCATCTACCTCTGAAAGTGATTAAACTCTTCGGATTTTTCATACAAAAAATGATAACAAATCACTCTGATGGTGTGTTTAATAGACAGGAGAGAAAAGGGAGGAATGAGTAAGATTAAAATAAGTAAGGAGGTGGAAATAGATGGAAAATAAAATGAAAAAGAAAGTTTAAAGTAAATATGTTAAAATAGAGGAAAGATGAGAAGAGAGATACTAATATGATTAGAAACAACGTATTAGAAAAAGAACAGAAAATACTGGGTATCACTACTTCTAAAATTATTTTTCCTTCAAATCAACTTAATCAACATCTTTACTCATCTACCCTAATGATCTCCGTCAAATAAATACTTACAATTTATTAAGAATCAAGTCTCACTATTCCTTTAGCAAATCTTGAGTTCTACTGTAATAAATTCTAATAATACTAAACATGTTTAAAAGAACCTATTAAAAAATTATATTTAATGCTCTTTGCATATAGATGTCGTTAATTGTTTTGTGCCTGATGGAAAGAAGTACCATGAACCATGTCTAGGTTGCTGAGGGTGGACGCTGTGAAAAGAACAGGCTCGGGCGGGCGTTATGATCCTTATGTTTACACGGTACACATTTTATTATTCACTAATTAATTTGAGTTTAATTTTTATAGTATAAAGTTCGGTGCCATTTAATCATGATTCATGCAATAATAATGAATAATAAATAATCGAGTGTCATACATGCAGGATGTATAACAACGTAGGATTGAATATTTTACACTTATCCTAACTTATCCCCTGGCATGTTAGATGTTATGGCTTCATGAATATTTCTCTACTTAGAGAATTTCATTTTCATGTTTCATGTTGCTTTTGGAAAACAAATATTTTTCTCACAGATAAGTGGATGAAGTTAGTGCTGCTGGTTAGATTGTAGCGGATTAAGTATTCACACGGATAGGTATATCATATTTCGGTGCAAATTCAGGTATATATACATCCCTAATATATAATAGGGAAATTTTGCTATAGCCAAATTATTATATAGTATTGTAGAGGTTTTTTATGCTCTCCGTATATGTAGTGTAGAAATCAATAACCATTGTTGAGTACATATGGATGTAGTATAGAAATCAATAACCATCGTTTAAGTACATTATTTTGTTTTTCTTGGCTATCATCTTCTCCTTTTTATTTTCTTTTTTCTTGTTCAGCTCTTGTTTATTCACCCTATTCAAAATATGTCCAGTTGTGTAATGAAAATATAAAATTCAGAAGTGGTAGAAATGAAAACTGGAAATATAAATTGACGATTTCTGGGTGCCCCATACATTAATTGATGACCTCTGTAGTCTATTATCTTAAAGTTGCACATTTGAGAGATAGTCCATTGAGGATAACAACTATTCAACATGATAGAAGATGATGACTATTTTGAAATATATTATAAGTGAGAATTGAGTAGGCTGAATAATTACTTGTTGTGACAAAGTGTGAATTTTACCATTAAAGGGGTGACAAGATTTGTACTATGTATATTCAACTCCACTTTATTTTGATAGGAAAAAGAATTTCTTTCGGCTGGATTCAAATTTGGATTTAGATATCAAACTCTTTGTTTCAATCCTTCCACCCGTAATGTATGATTATTTAATATCTTAAATATATAAATCAGAATTAATCGTAACATATGTTTTTAAATATATTAAAATCTATTTCATATGATTAATTAGTTATTATTGTTCAATTTTAATAATTTCAAAAAAAATACAATCGTATAAAATTATAATTTAGCATTCAATTTACTTGAATTATAAAGTTATTAACCATCTAATATTTAATAAAATTTACATAAATATTATTTGATTTATAATATATGTATATTTTCTTTTATTTTAGTTCTTAAAAATATAAAATAATTACTTTATTAAACTATAATTTAAATAAAAAAACGTAAAAATTTAAACTATATGTTTATTACAAAACAATTTTTTAATTTTCAAGTCTTTCGTATTTAATAAATTTTTTGAATTATTATAATTAAAATATAATTAATAGGTTAATTTATGATGATTTAGAAAACGTTTAAATTATTGTTTTTATTATAACATATTCTCACAATTTGTTTATCATTAAAACTTAACAAAAATATTTTAACTTGTGTTTTTCAAGAATGGGAAGCGCCAACCCTTTTATATATTTATTATTTTTCAGCTTCCTCTTTAACTTTACTCGTTGCCATCAAATCTTTTATTTAATCTACGTCAAAAGAATGCAACAACTATGATTGATAACATGTATTATTTTTTAAATTTGTAAAAGTGTAAATTTGTGAAATTTAATATCAAGTGTATATTGACTCATTCATTTACAAACACTATTTAATAAAGAGAAAGAAGAAACATAGAAATGAAAAAAAAAGTCAACGAGAAATTTTAATTTTTAATTTGTGTGAAATAGGTTGTACTACTAATAAAAATATTTTATAAATTTATGATTTTTTTTCAAATATTTTATCCAGAAAAATGTAATGTAGGATATTTTAATTTTTTTTCATTCAAACACAATGATTATTTTCAAATTTTTCATTCCAACACAATGATCCTAAAAGAATGAAGAGTTATAATTATCTTGAATCAGTTAGGTGATGTTTAGATGGTTAAGAGTTTTTTTTTTTTTTTTTTAAATGCAATTCTTAAAACAAAATATGTTAAGAAGATATTGTTAACATCTATTTCTTTCTAGTATTAATAATTAGTGGAGACAATAACAAGAGGAATCTTGTGATATTACCTACATAAAGTTACAAAGAAATGTATATCTTCCAATTTATCATTAACATGGTATCTCATCTTATACATCCATTTGCATTCTACTGAATTAGTAATTCTGATGAAGGATCCAAAGTTCAAGTTTTGTAGTAGCAAGTTCAATGCCCATTGTCTTATTACAGCAACTAGTCTTATAGGCATGTTGAAAAGAAGTAGTTCTTGTATAGCACTCATTGTCAAACAGTGATTTTTTTGTAAATATGAATAGTTTTTATATGAAATGAATAAAGAGGATAGGCAACAAAATATATATTTTTTTCTTGTTTTTCTGTATTGAACAAATTTCAATGGTATTCTACCAAATGAAGGAGTAACTTTTTAATCCTCAAGTAATGTATTGTTATCTGGATGTTTTGTGACATTTCATATAGTGTTCCTTCTTCCAATATTTTATTGTTATTTTGCTTGTTTTTCTCATGGAAATGTTCATACGATGACATTGAGCTTTGTATTTCGATGTCTTCTTCTTCATTGGTTTTTGGTACGAATATTCCAAAGACATAATCTATATAAGTCTAGTATTTAAAACATAGAAGTGTTTTGAAACATATTTTCTCTTTTCGTAAGTAGTAAAAAATGGCATTTCTAAATACTAAAAAATCATGTGAAATCATATAAGATATAACTTGTAGTGCTTTCCTTGAAGTCTAAAAAAGATCATGTACAATTTTAAATAATTAATTATAAATAATGTACAAATTTCACATACCATTTTAAAAAAAAAATTAAAATATGACAAAAAATTGCAAATAAAAAATGGAAACTACATGTTAAAATGATACATACGAAAATAAAATATTTTTTTACTAACTTCAACTACAAGAGGGAGTAGTCAAGACATAGGTGTTGTATAGGAAGTTGGACTAAAAAGGTAACATTTGTAATTGATTTCTTCTAAAATGTAGAAATTCAATATATTCATCAAAGGTTATGTAAGAAAACGTACAGGATAAAACGCACATCACAACCCTCTTATTCGTCACCTTTTCTTTCCAACATGCAAGTGTCAAACTATTCAAGTTTTAAGCCAATTTTTTTAGAAATGAAACTAATCAAATTTTTGTAAAAAAAAAAGGAAAAAAAAGTGGGTAATATAACTTTTTCATCGTTCAAGAGCAATGTAAAAACATGTGGACCCACATTTTCATCGTTGCATTTCCATGTACATCAATAGAAACAAAAGTATAGTTTCCATGCAAACCCATCTTTTATATCAGTACATAGGTAGAAGCAAATAAAGGCTTGAAGTGATTATGACAATTGTCAACAATTTTAAATCAAATGGTGATCCATGATTGTATGACAATCTTTACACTCTAAATATATTCAAATTCAATGCATGTTTGTAAAATATTCATCCAGTCTATTTATTTCTAAAAAAAATGTGCATTTTCTTCAAGGTACAATTCATTCAACAAAAAATATCAACTCTATACCTATGATCTAGAATTGCCACCATGATCCCTCTCCACATGTTGCACAAGAGCAACAGGATCCCGAAATCCTCTACTACACTTGGGGCAAGCATCAATTGTAACCTTTGCTCCAGAACTATTCCCACTTCTTTCATGAACTTTTTGCACATGGTCCACCAAAGTAGTAACAGAGGTAAACTTGGCACCACACTGAGGGCATTGCTCCACTTGAGCACTGCTATTGCTTGGCCCCACCCCAACTGATTCTGTCCACCACGATTGGTTAACTTCACTCAACTTTGACACACCAGCCTCGGCCGAAGCTCGAATGTTAGAAATTGCATTAACAAAGCTTGTAGACCATCTAGATGATGCAGATGCACTTGACTGGGGTTTGGTCTCCTGTTTTTTACTCCCATTTAAAAGACTCCTAAATGAAAAACTTGTTTCCACTTTTCTGGGGCCAGGACATTTATGATCAGGTCCAAATCGATGCTTTAAACAGTAGTCCACCGAACAGTCCCTGCACTTAATTGTGTTTGAGAATCCTAATATCTCTCTGCATCCTGGGACAGGGCATTTTTTCTTCTTCGTGACTTTCTCATAGTTCGATGGGTCGCAGTCAGTGTTGACATGATTCTCCCAAGTTATGTTTGCATCTTGATCAGGAACTAGGCGAACTCCTTTGGCGCAAAGTGGACATATAACTACAGTGACATCTTGCTTGTCAGCTTTTGTACACTGATGTTTAATATAACTTCTGTGCTCCAAACAATACACCTGCAAAGATTTGGCTGATAAGTAGATAAAACAAAAAGCTCTGAAAATAAGCACAGGTGGAATAATAATCCATAATTCCATACCTCGACCCCAGATCATCATCAGGCAAAGTCAATAATCAGAATAGTGTTTCACGCATGAAACCAAGAAGTTTAAGTGCTACTCAGAACTACAGATAAATGATCAATACTTAAACAAAACTAAAAATAACAGTAGCAAACTTTACCCAAACCTGACTTTTGAGTGGAGCAAAAGTTTTAAGTTGAGTTCAACTATTTAGAAGTTATAAGATGTCGAAGTCAAGAGTTTACTTAAACTCATGGAACTACTACACAGACTTGACTCTTGAGTTCACCTAATATAAAAGATAATATTAAAACATAACCTATTAATAACATATATGCATAACATAATACTTTTAACCAAGGTTATCAAATCATGAATCAGTAAGTTAATATTTTAATTGTGAACCATAGTTTGCATCGAATCGTAACATTAAGAGGCAATAAAAAAATGTAAATATATCATATCAATGATGTGTAGTGTTCAGTGAAAAATATTTAAACTATACATAGAGAAAACAACTTGGCAAAAGTCTGATGGAACAAAATCATTAGTTATATCTGAGTTTACGGAGCCTTTATTTTAGAAAAATGGAATAAATTAAATTGCTAAATAGAATACATACATTGAATGCGTGAGCAATAAACCTGAGTAGTGGAACAATCAAATAAGATAAGTTTAGAAGTGTTCCATCAATTCCTTTTCATTTAACAATTGAAGTTTTTATGACTTTTCAATGGTTGAAAAAAAAGAATGGTATGATTCATAATTGATACAAATTTGAACAGATTCATTCATGAATTGTAAGATTCTGATAAATATACTTTTAACACAACAATAATTCAACATTTCAACTCCATGATAAAGCAAAGTATCCCACTACAATAAGGTGATGGTACTATAGTATTAAACAAAATCAAACTATATAAATGACCTAATCATACATAAATTTATAAAAATATAAATTTCTAGAGGGAAAACATTTAAAAAAAAAAAATTTCTTCAAATCATTTGATCCTGGTAAAATATTAAATTTACATTAGCTTCAGAAACAGTGTATGTCCGTATAAAAACATTGTCACAATGTGGTCCATGGGTGACAATTTTACATTTGATTTCAAACTTGTTGACTCAGTTCTTGACTCAGAAGTTTACACAAATTTAACGAGTTTACCAAAGTCTGTCACAAAAAGACTTTGATAGTGAGCTAACTCATCTTCTCTAACTAATCGTAAACTCATAAGAAGTCAGCACAAGAGTTTGATAACAATTGTTAAAAAGATTACAACACCCCATCTTAGTGATTTTGATGCTGTTCTCCAGTTATAATTGAAGGTGACCCCCACAATAACTGTTGGCATTGGTTAAAACTTCTATTTAAAACCTAAAATATACCCATAAAACTGCACCTAAATCTTATTCTAAAACTAACCATAAGCTGCACATATAAGGAGCCAACCATTCGCACCGTTTTGGTCTTCCTTAACCATTACTCCACTTTTCCCATAGTTGATAACTACTGTTATAATTTTAGGAAGAATAAGAAAGGTGATTTGTTGTTGAGCAATGATGTGGGTAGTGTGAGTGTTAATGTAGTAAGTGTGGATTGTAAAAAACAGTGTTTAGAAAGAGGTGGGTGATTAGGAGAAGGTAGTAATTAATTTTGGAAGTGCTTGAAAATCACAGCCATCTCTTTCTAAAATCCTCTTGAAAATGAGAGATAATTGTACCCACTTTACATCTTCACTTACATTTCTAGACTCTTCTAACAGTTCTAGATAACTACTTACATGAGGTTCATAGTTTTGGTAGTTTCTAGAACTAATTTTCTTGATCTCTCCTGAAATTTGCATCAACTTTTATCAACTACTTTTACTTCGATTCCTAATTCTGAAAGGCACTTCCTCGGCACTTTTCTTGAATTGTTTTAACTGTGCAGACTCGTACAACTAGCCAACTTCCCATCCCTACTTCAACATAAAAAATAAAAACAAGTCCATCCTTCCATAGCTTATCATACCACCACAAAAGTAGGTAATTTACATCACCATAATTCCTTACAAATTGTATAAATTAGTCATCATGGGAAAATAGAATTTGCCCAAGTAGCTAAAAACTATACCAATAAAGCCATCAATACACAAAGCAAAATTATATGAATCAGCATATCAAAAGGGAGTTTAGAGCATAATAATATCAAAATAAATTTGAACAAAAATATTCACAGATGAATAGTCCAATACAATTACTAAATCAAATTACAGCATTTGGAGACTAAATCAAATTACAGCATTTGGAGCAACTGAATAGAGAAATTGACTTGTTTGGGTATAATAGGGATGGAGAAAGGGAAGAACCTGGTGACAGCGATCGCAGGTAAAGGGCAAGAAATCGATCTGCTTGCAATCGGAGACAGAGCAGTGCTTTCCCAGATCTGGGAATTCGGGAGTTCCCATCAAAGACAGCTTAAATGAAAATGAAATTCAAACTGAAATTCAGAGAAAAGTAGCGGAGAAGGAAGGTGGGTGGGAAGGGAAAGGAAAAGGAAGCGGAGGGAGTCTTCTTGCGCTGACCTTGACCCTTTCCCAACTCTTCATCAATGGATATTTTTTAATAACTGATTTTTGGTAAAAAAAAAATAATATTATATATAATTAATGGAGAAATAATATGAGAAATATTTAAAAATAAAAAATATAATCATTTTTTATCTCATAATATAAGATGTCTAAAAAATAGAAATAAATAAATAAATAATATATATAATAAAAAATGTGGTGAAACATATATGCTTTTCCAAATATATAATTTCTCTTGTGAGTTTTGGTAATTGGGTAACTCATTCAATATAACCTAAACCTAAATAAAACGGGCTAATTTTTTTTTAATTAGATCAAATTCTAAGTTCTTTTATTAATTGAACGATCAGTTTTATAATACAATCTAATCTATATTAAATATAACATTTAATTTAATTCAATCAAAGTATTAGATAATAATAATATAATTATTATTTAATATTTTATTAATTAAGCTAGTTTAGTGCCAAAATAAAATAAGTAAGTAAGATAATTGGTAATAAAAAATTAATTAATGTAATTAAATTAATTGTGTGTATTGATTCAATTAAATAAGCTTTTTATTATTTTCTATAACTAAGATATTTATATTTACATTTATATGTTTTAAAATTTTAATCAATATATATATATACATAAACGATGATTTTTATATAAAATAATAAATAAATTATTCAATTGAATTACACATTCAAAAATAATTTAGTTATTGTAATTTGAAATATTTTTATTATCTTATTTAATCAATTGTTAATTTATATTTTAATGTTAAACAAATTATAATTAATAATAAAGCCTAAAAGGAGAGGAGGAATTTACAGATAACAATTTTTTCAATAAACTAGAAAATAAAACAAAGTCATGATTACATAAATATTTAAACATATATATAGGCATACAATATTTTTCAAGAATCGCGTGAATTTTTAAATATATATAGTTTCATTTCATCATTCAAATACATATAATTTTGGAAGTTACAAGGTAAAGTATGATATATAATTTAAAATTTATTACGAAAGATAGTACAAATGGTGAGAATATGTGAGTGAGAATGATTAGTACATCACATATATTATTGTTGGGTGGTAATAAAATAATTTGTCAAAGTGTGTTTTGTGTTGCTATGGGCATTGAGGGTTGACATCTCCTGTGTAGGACAACTGAACATTGTTGCATGAAGCCATGGCCCCTCCTCCACTTTCATGTTGCAGCTCTATGTTCTGCAACACTATCCCCTCGCATGGAAACTTCTCGCTGCAATCAAACTGCACACCCACTTCTGAAGCACTTGTGCCCCTTATGTTTTCGTACAACACATTCCTGATCTGAACTGCAGATTGCTGCAACAACAAAACCTTATTAATCATCACTAATTGAAAATCGAACTTAAAACACTCGTTTAAGATATGAGACATATCATTTTTTTTCACTCATGATTTACATGCATGCATGAAAAATCCGGTTGTAGAGAATCTGGATAGCAATACATAGCTAGGGTTAATATTGGGCTATTTACTTGTTGTTTGCATGGTGTCGCTTGATCACAGTAATTTTGATCTATTATTATGGGGTTGGTCACTTTCTCCATTTCAATGTTCTGAAACTTGATGTTGTTTGCACTTCCTGAACCTCCCTGCATGCATGCATGTACATATTCAATTAACCAAAAGTGTTTTATATATATTATGTATATATATACTATGATAAAGTGGTTGTTCAAATTTGAAATTACCTGCCATGTCTTGATTCTTACTCCATTTGTAGTTCCAGAAAATTTAGCTCCGTTCACCATTACTCCTGAAACAAAATCCTTGGATTCCTGGGACCCTAAGCTTCCGATGCTGAGATCATTATTGCAAACAAAGTAAGATTTTAAATTAATCATTGCAATGTGCCAACAAGACTCAGCTATTAAGCAGTGATTGATAGAGTTCTAGAAAAAGCTATTGAAGGTACCTGATACCATGGCCTGGTCCGCATGTAATGTTTGTGACTTGAACATTCATGGAACCACTTTCAATTGATATACAATCATCACCTGCAAAGAATTGAAAGCAAAAGTGATTTGGAAACTTATAATGCTGTATCATTTTTACTGTTTTGAAAACGCAGAAACATATAGGTTAAGAATACCAGTTCCTGTAACTGTGTTCTGGATTTGGATGTTCTGAGTGTTTGTGATGTGAATTCCATCAGTGTTTGGGCTATCCTCAGGTGCTGTCACAGTGAGACCAGAAACTAAAACATTCTCTGAGTTTTGGAATGAAACATGCATCTGTTGCCCATTTTTTATCGTCAAATCCTCAACTGTCAAGTCCTTGCACTTGTAAAAAGTCAACGCCTGCATAGATATGTACAAAACTATGGTTAACCTTTGAAGGTTACATAATGGATCTTCTTCTCTGTCAAAGTCAACCTTTAACAAAAACATGCTGAATTTTTATCTCATAAGTATCATTAAATAGTGGGACTTGTATTTTTTCTTTTTCTAAATAATCATCACATGTATCTTTTACAAAAGATAATTCTCCAATAATAATAATATTAATAATATTAGGGATATTTATGTAATAAACTCTGATTATATATGTTGTTTATTGACTAGAAAAAAAAAGTGTTAATGGAGAGCATTTTCATATAAAAATAACAAATATAATAGATGATTTGAAGTCACCTAAAAATTGAATTCCCATATACATACCGTAGGGGCCTTCTTGCAAGGCTGCAAAGACAAAAACACATGGAAGAATATAGTTAGCACTTGAACAAGATTTATATATATTAATCAAAGATAGCAGCAATATTGTACCATAATGTCTTACAAGATTTTGGTTCCTTTTGCATGAGTTTTGCCACCATATGTTTCCGTTTCCATCGATGCTTCCACCACCTTTGACTGATAGTTTCTGAACACTGTCGAACATAAGCCAGTGTGCGCGGTCTTCGCTGTAATCTGATGCCTTATCTGATGCTTCAAGGCTTCCATAGATCTGATGAAAATAAACAAGAGTTCATCCCAAATTGTAAATCTCTACGTTATTGTGTTGCAGAGATTTACATAATATTAATGCTAAGAATATTTGGAACTAATTTTAATCTGTGTCTTACTAACCCGGACTTGGATGTTGGATTTGCAAGGGCCAGAAAATGTGATTGGCTTGAGTAGATAATTCTTCTGTGCCACAACAAAAACTGCTCCCTCAGATGAACACGCTACTTCCCAAGCCTTCTTGAATGCCTGAAATAACCAACCCATAAAACCCAAATGAGTACTTCAAACACTACCATTCTTTTCAATTAATATATATGATTTGTTATGCTTGCACGTAATTTTTACTAGGTTTCACATGCAATATGTGACATAGATTTTGTAGGTGAGAATATGTACCTGGGTGTCATCACTTTTACCATCTCCTTGAGCCCCATAATCGTTGACGTTAACCAGTTGAAGCGAAGAAGAAATCTCACCCAATTTGTCAAAACTCTTGAAACTCAAAACATGTGTACTTTGCATGATGAAATCCTTTAACGTACCACCATCATCGACTTTAGAAGAACCCTCATCAAATAGCCTAAGTGGGTCCTCTAGCATGTTGCTGTCAACAAAACAAATCATCATCATAACAAGCAACGAGAGGTGGTGTCTTGGGAGGGCCATTGCTACTTCAATTTCCCTTTGTGTGACAGTGAGAATAGAATGGAGTTGAATGATGTCAATTTCATGAAAATGGCTATGCTTGATATCTATCTAGCTTGGTGTGGAATATTGATGAGGAGATGGTGTATTTATAGAGAAGGAAATGAAAATGATTGAGTTATATTCTTCGTCTACACAAGGATATGTTATGTTAGGGTATGGGAGATAGGGTATGAGAGATTGAGACGAAAGAATCTCTACGATCCAATCATGACTTCATACAGGCTTTGTATCACCATGTTTACCAATGTGTCAGTTCAGTTTTATGCCAGTATTAATATATATATATATATATATATATATATATATATATATATATATATATATATATATAATATGATCAAAATATTAATAATACGTATATAAATATGAATAGTACGTAAATACGTATATCCTATCATAATTTTCTTCCTAAATTAAAACTAACACATTTAGAAAATAAAAAAACTATAAGACAAGTGAGGGGAATATTAAATTTTTAACAGAAGATAAAAAGTAGTTTAACCGCATCATTTGTAATTAAGAATGCTAATTAGCGAATTAGTTAAAAATTAAAAGAGCATTCAATTGACAAAACACATCGAATATGCTTAATTAATGGATTGAAACCACCAGTTTTCAATCTTTATCTCTCTTTGTGTCCTTTTAATTGAAAAATGACAGTTACTTTTTTTTTTTTTGGGAAATTACACTTTCTTTATAAGATTATGTTAAAGAACATTCGCATCCTCTAATTTTTAAAATTTACATTTCCTGGTTATTGAATGGATATTATTTCTTTATATTTTTAATAAATAATGTTTATAAAGTGACACTTATTTCTTTCATTTTATTTAAAAAAAAAACAATTAAAACTTAAACACAACGTTTATGAAAATTAAAAAAAAATGTTAATATATGTAAGCGTAAATGAAATCATTTGTGTTATAGATCACAATAATTATTTAAATCAAATAAAACTATATTATCTATATTATGTATAAAATGTGTAATGAATAAAGAATATAAGATAGTGAAAAATAAAATAAAATAATTAAAAAACTTACTTATGTATTTAAAGAAGAAAAAAAGAGAAGAAATATATGAAAATAATCAAAATAAAATAATATATATATATATATATATATATATACACAAGAATAAATGTTAAAAGAAAAATATTATTTAATATAAATTAATAATATAAAAAATGTGAATAATAAAGCATGTATTTCCTTCAATCAAGTGTTTAATGTTCATTGGCATTTACACTACAAGAAAAAACACATTTAGCCACCGAAATTAGCGACTGATTTAGCGACCGATTTAATTTTGGTCGTATTTAGAGACCAATTTAGCGACCACTTTAATTCCGTCGCAATTAGCGACCGATTTAGCGACCACTTTAATTCGGTCGCAATTAGCGACCGATTTAGCGACCAAAATATGATTTGGTTTTCACTTTTTTATTTAACGACTGAAATAGCGACCAATTTTTGTGCGTCGCAAATTTTCAGTCGCTAAATCGGTGGTTATTTCATACATAAATAAAAAAATTATTTAGCGACTGATTTAGCGACTGAATTACAAATTGAAATAGCGACCGAATTAAAATCGGTCGCTAATGAGAAAATAATCCATGATTATATCTGATTTTTGCAATATCGCTCAGCGAAAATAACATCGCTCGAGCGACGCCACCTGCACAAAATTGGCATTCTCGGGTTGTATTTCGTTTGAGCGACACTATTCTCGCTCGAGCGACACTCGATTCAAACATGAGGCACCCATGTTACATTATCCGGCTAACTTTGATCGACGTTTACGCAGGTCAACATTCGCTCAAGCGAAAGTAACATCGCTCGAGCGACGCCACCTGCACAAAATTGACATTCTCGGGTTGTATTTCGCTTGAGCGACACTATTCTCGCTCGAGCGACATCCGATTCAAACATGAGGCACCCAGGTTACATTATCCGGCTAACTTTGATCGACGTTTACGCAGGTCAACATTCGCTTGAGCGAAAGTAACATCGCTCGAGCGACGCCACCTGCACAAAATTGGCATTCTCGGGTTGTATTTCGCTTGAGCGACATTGGTCTCGCTCGAGCGATATCTGATGCAAAAATGTGTTTATAAATAAAATATTTGTCACTTTTAAGAGCGGTTAATATTTTCACCGCTCTTAAAAGTGAACATATAATAGCGGTTCAAGTGGAACCGCTTATCATATACAACCAGATTTTTTGATTCTGATCGATTAGATTTTCGAAATGATCGATCATATGTGATAATTTTTTCAAATAATTAATTATAATCGATTAGTTTTCTAAATTATTGATTAGAATTGATTAGTTTTTCAAATAATACATTAGAATTGATTAATTTCTGAAATATATACTAAAAAATTATAATTAAAAATATAAATTATTTAAGAATATTGACTATTGTAAAGATAAAGTGGAACATGGGAGGAGATGATGATGATAATATAATGATAGAACTTACAAAAATGTAGAATTGAGAAGTTTGAAACAAATAAAATTACGAAAATAGAGATTTAATTACACTTTTAATAAATTTAAGATAATACTAGTTTTGATTTTTTTTAAATATTTATTTTAATTATTTAAAACAGAGAAACTATAATATTAGTTTCTAAATACTAAATTTAAAGAATTAAATTTATTATTATTTAATCTTTCAATTTTAGTATTAAAAATTTAAATTATATTTATTAAATTAAAATAATTACAATATATTTTTCTACTTTGAGAATGAACAATATAATTAAACTCAAAATTGACAATATTATAATACATTTTTGAACTCTTTTGGATTAATTTTTTTCCTAATTTTTGATAAAGTTAATTTTAATATTTAAAAGTATTTAACATTTTGAATTCTGAAAGATTTTCTCTAATAGCAAATTTAAAAACATAATATTCAAAAAAATAGTTAATGTAAGTTTTCATTATGATCGATTATAATTAGAAATGATGGATCATAATTGAGAAAATATAATAGCGTTTCCACGTTAACCGCTATCTAAAGTATATTTTAGATAGCGGTTAAGGGTTAACCGCTATTAGAAGTGTCCTTTAATAGCGGTTCCAAGTGGAACCGCTATCATATACAACCAGATTTTTTGATTCTGATCGATTAGATTTTCAAAATGATCGATCATATTTGATAATTTTTTCAAATAATTAATTATAATCGATTATTTTTCTAAATTATTGATTAGAATTGATTAGTTTTTCAAATAATAGATTAGAATTGATTAATTTCTGAAATATATACTAAAATATTATAATTAAAAATATAAATTATTTAAGAATATTGACTATTGTAAAGATAAAGTAGAACATGGGAGGAGATGAGGATGATAATATAATGATAGAACTTACAAAAATGTAGAATTGAGAAGTTTGAAACAAATAAAATTAAGAAAATAGAGATTTAATTACACTTTTAATAAATTTAAGATAATACTAGTTTTGATTTTTATTTTTAAATATTTATTTTAATTATTTAAAACAGAGAAACTATAATTTTAGTTTCTAACTACTGTATTTAAAGAATTAAATTTATTATTATTTAATCTTTTAATTTTAGTATTAAAAATTTAAATTATATTTTATTAAATTAAAATAATTAAAATATATTTTTCTACTTTGAGAATGAACAATATAATTAAACTCAAAATTGACAATATTATAATACATTTTTGAACTCTTTTGGATTAATTTTTTTTCCTAATTTTTGATAAAGTTAATTTTAATATTTAAAAGTATTTAACATTTTGAATTCTGAAAGGTTTTCTCTAATAGCAAATTTAAAAACATAATATTCAAAAAAATAGTTAATGTAAGTTTTCATTATGATCGATTATAATTAGAAATGATCGATCATAATTGAGAAGATATAATAGCGGTTCCACGTTAACCGCTATCTAAAGTATATTTAAGATAGCGGTTAAGGGTTATTCGCTATTAGAAGTACCCTTTTAATAGCGGTTCCAGTGGAACCGCTATCATATACAACCAGATTTTAAGATTGTGAAGTCTCGGGTTGTATTTCGCTTGAGCGACACTATACTCGCTCGAGCGACATCCGATTCAAACATGAGGTCACTCATGTTACATTATCCGACTAACTTTGATCGACGGCTAGCAGGTCAACATTCGCTCAAGCGAAAATAACATCGCTCGAGCGACGCCACCTGCACAAAATTGGCATTCTCGGGTTGTATTTTGCTTGAGCGACATGGTCTCGCTCGAGCGACGCCACCTGCACAAAATTGACATTCTCGGGTTGTTTTTCGCTTGAGCGACACTGATCTCGCTCGAGCGACATCCACATTTTTTTATTATGATCGATTACATTTTCAAATGATCGATCATATTTGAAAATATATAATAGCGGTTAAGATTTAACCGCTATTAGAAGTGCTATATAATAGCGGTTAAGATTTAATCACTATTAGAAGTGATATTATAATAGCGGTTAAGATTTAACCGCTATCATATACTACCACATTTTTCACTTTCGTATCTCGCGCCACTTATCCCCAAATAACCCTAACTCTCGCGCCTCACTCACCCATTCCTCTTAACCTTGGCCAGTATCTCCTCCTCACTCCCGGTGAGCCCTAGCCCCCTCACTGCTCCCCCCAAGTCAGCCCTCACCCTAATCCAACCTCCACCAAAGCTCCTTGTCAACCGGACGCCACCCTGTGAGCCACCGCGCCACACCTCTGTTCTTAACCTCCTCCGCAGCCTCTGACACCCTCAACCAAGGTTTGACTTGTTTGAATGTATATAATGTTATTCTCTTGCATTGTGAATAATATAGGAGAGATAATTTTGACAGAATTTCTTTATCGTTTGTTGTAGGTGGATTTGTGAAGTAG